TTTGGGCCCCCTATAAGCAAGAGACTCTGTATGATGTGACTCATATTAAGATTTCTCACTGCACAGAGAAATGGCAAAAAGTCCTTCTGGCAAACTGAAGGAATGACCTAAACATTCACTTTGAAGCTGTCACAAGAAAGGAGCCATCGAGACACCTTCAAAGGGAATGTTTATCCCCTCCGGTTTTCTGTGAAATGTTAGGGCTAGCGCTCCATACTGACATCATGCAATATTGGTCCTCCGAGTCTGCAGGGAGAAATCAAGGAAGTGATCACACAGTTGCAGTAGAAGGAGGCATTTTAGGCATTCCTGCCCAACGACCCAAAGGCTAGACAAAACTATGAGTGTTAAAAGAAAATATATGCAGGAGGGCAAGAATAAATCAAGAAAGCAACTCATTTAGCATTTGCTTTCTGTGGGGCGTTCAAACAAGAATGAGGGACATTCAACAGAGAGGCATTTCTGTTTGAACACCTTGAAAAATGCCAGTGTTTGTTTCTTTTAAATAAATGCTTGTAATGCTCGGAGGCCATGGATTGACTTACCACACTCAACAATGTTTTTCATATTTTTCCAATTTTCCTTGAGCAACAGTTGGTGAAACTAAGAAATTGTGCACAGCCCGTTTTGAGGTTGTGCTTTTGTGGTGTTAAGAATTTACCCTGCTGATTATTATTTTTTTTATCCTTGTGGATTATTTGCCACTGGAATGTCCTGACTTTGTAAATGTGTTTTGGGTTTTTGTCTGACTGTGGCACATGTTCCATGGTTTTTGTGACTGCATTCATTTCACAGTAAAGTTTTGGTTTTTTTATCTGCGAGAAACCTATTTAACCTCTTTTGACCTCTGTTTCTTGCCTCATATTGCTTCAACTCACTTATAAATGCAGTCACATCAGACTTCCTTTGAAGTTGAAATGTACCTCTAATTGAATTTTTTTATCCATTTGGTGTTTCTACTAAGCTGTTTTTATACTCAAATGGTACAAATCCATTCTTTACCTCTGGATAGGGTGTCCAAAGAGAACATGTAACCAACACTAATTTGCAAATATCGATATAAGTAATGTATTACTGAATTAACTGGTTTAATGTTTTCAGAACATTAATTTTTCTAAACTACAACCATATTATTCAGTATGATGCATGACCAAACTGTAAATATAGCCCATATTTGTTTATCTGGATTTATGCAGAAGGGAAATAAAGGCATCTGTGATGTTTTCTAGTTCTGGCAACTGCCACTGTTTAATGACCTGAAAGGACGCACAGCTTATATTGTGAAAATATGATCCTTCCTTTCTTGTCAAGGAATTTAAAGATAAAATCTTTAGCAGAGAGGAATTTATTCCTGTGAAGGAACATAAACTACAAAAGCAGGTAAATCTCTCGTATTATAATCCCCGTGTATGACATTGGTAACTGAAGTTAAATCATTTCTACAGTGAAATTCCCCTCCTGTCTTTAAAACTGCCTGCTTAGTCTGAGAAGCAGAGCGGTGCAAACAAATTCCAAGCTTCCATCATCACACACACACTCACAACCCAAAACAAGACAACTGCACTCAGTAGCAGAGCACACAGACTGCTGTACAAATTGCCAAGGCTTGTAGCTGCAGGCTAACCAGCAGTCGAAATACCCCCCACCCCCGATGATGGTGTGTGAGAGAAAGACAGACTGAAATACAGAGAGAGACATAGCAAGGGCAAGGATGAAACAAAAGAGTATCAGAGGCAAAGTGATATGAAGAGTGTGTGTGTGTGTGTGTGTGTGTGTTATGTAAACCCCCAGGTGGTGCTTGTTGTCCTGGATAGAAGTATCACCAGAGGGACGACTGCTTCAGCTTAGCAGGTCGGTCCACACCTCTCTCTCTTTTCCTTCCTATTTTTCCCCACAAACACACACCAGCATGAGTCAGGAAGAGAAGAAGAAGAAGAAGAAGAAGAAGAAGAAGAAGAAGAAGGGAAATAAATAAAAGGGGCAATGAAGGAAAGGCGGCGGGAGGACACAAGAGGAGATTATTGAGGGGAAAGAAAAAGGGGATCTAGGGAAGGCAAGAAAGAAAAAGACAATAGAGGAAACACATGCAGGAGGTAGAGTCGACGTATCTGCTGAATGGAGAGAGAGAATGATGGAGGAGAGAAGCGAAATGCATGAAATTACATTTCAGAAATATCAGTGTGTAGTTTGGGAAAGCACAAACACTCCACCTTTAGCTCATTGTTATTCAGTTACATGTGCAACTTGGGAGGGAATTATCTATTTTTCCGAGTGCTGCGTTTGTTATTTTATCTGTTTACTGGGGGTTTCTCTGTACCAGTAATGTTAACAGATCGCAATAAGCACAATTATGGGAAGAGCCTTTCCAGATACATCTGCGCCGTGTCCATGCTGAAACAGCAGGAAAGAGATCAGCAGAGACTTGTTATGGTCCCTGTGCAACTGCTGACTTAGGATGAGCTCCACTGTTCCAGATCTTGACATCTACCACTGTTGTGGAAATCACAACCCTGACCCAAGATCAGCACTTAAGACTGCTTTCACCCCACTGAGCAGCCCTGGGAATTGATAACAGACAGCATGGGTGCAAGATCTGGGGCAACACTGCCCCCTAATGGTTCAGGCATGGAGGTGAATCTGGTGGAGATGACGTAAGGCCGGACAGAGTGTGTAGTGATATAGTAGATGTAAAAGGTGTGAAGGTGTTTGGGGTTGAACTGTGAGCACTTGCAGAGGTTACAGTATTCGTTTGATATGGCATTTGTTGCATGACACATCAGTAAATCATACATGTGAGATAATTAAAGGGTCAGTTCACCCCAAAAAGAGAAATTTGCTTGAACTGACCCTTTAAAGCTAGAAATTTGGTACTTACTTTGACACTAGCCATAAGTCATGCTAAGCTGGAGCAGTCGTCCCCCTGGTGATACTTCTATCCAGGACAACAAGTACCACCTGGGGGTTTACATAACGTACATGCACACACACACACACACACTCTTCCTCACGCTCTCTCTTCTCATTTTCTCTCTGATACTCTTTTGTTTAATTCTTGCCCTTCATATGTGTCTCTCTGTTTTTCATTCTGCATTTCTCTCACACACATCATCATTGTGGAGGGGGGCTGGCAGTTTGTACAGCAGTCTGTGTGCTCTGCTACTGAGTGCAGTTGTCTTGTTTTGGGTTGTGTGTGTATGTGTGATGATGGAAGCTTGGGATTTGTTGCCACCGCTCTGCTTCTTTTATTTTACCGATGACGACAGGAGGACAATTTCATTGTAGAAATAATTAGACTTCAATAACCAATGTCATAATGCTAGAGATTTGCCTGCTTTTGTAGTTTATGTTCCTCAAGAGGACTTTATTTCTCTCTGCTAAATATCCCTTTATCCTTAAATTCCTTAGATGACAAGAAAAGGGAGGATCATGTTTTCACTATGTAAGCTGTGGGTCCTTTCAGGTCATTAAACAGTGGCGGTTGCCAGATCTAGAAAACATGGCAGATGTCTTTTTTTTCCTCCAGCATTAACCCAAATAAACAAATATGTGCTATGTTTACAATTAGATTTTTATGGGGATTTGGAAAAGTCGTTGGAAATAAGTTAAATGTCCCTTGTAATGACAGCCACTACTTTGGAAGGAGCCATTAAAAACTGCAGCCAAGTCTACATGTAGAGTTTATTTTTTATAAAATAAATATAAAGTCTGAAAGAACATGTAAGACATTTTGAGGGTGTATTTGATATGTAAAGAAAATAGATTTCCAATTTACTAACCCAATTTAGAGCTATTGATGCTGAAGCAATAACATTTGGTCACTGCACAGGGAGGGAAAGATGTTACCTCAGTGCCTGAAGCAGCTCTGCTCGAGGCAGATTCTGCTCACTAACAACCCCCAGGAGGCAGAGAGCAGTGGAGCTGCAGGAAGATGTATCCATCCAGGGCTGCTCAGGAAACAATGGAACCTAATGCAAACATAAGTCAGGTGTCGCTGACCTTATTACCGCTGTGGCTATCTGGAACTTAACAGCTGCCATGAAACTTAAATAAAAGTATTTTTACTTCAACACACCAGTGAGGACTAAACATAAAGAAGAAAGTAAACAGAACTTTACAATCTTAAATCTTAATCTTAATCTTAAACAACAACTATTGTTTTAACACTACACTATGATTGCTAGCTCATGCTGGGTAGCTTTACTGATTAGCATGGATAGATTCTGTGCGAGTATGCTGTATTTTGTGAACATATTAAACCTAAAAATGTAAATGAAAAAATGTGTGAATTGTTGATTTTTCTTTGATGTGCTTGGGTGCGCAGCGGCAAGCTATGGGACATTCTTGGTCTTCTGCATAGAGTGGTGATTTTAAAATGTCCACAGTGGGACATAAACTGGTAGGTGAAAACCCCCATAATGCAAAGCAAAGTGGTAGTTTCTCCTTAAAGTCTGCAGCATTTACAGGCATGGACATCACAGTGTTCGTTTGTATGGTGAAAGGGCTATAATCTAAAATAATTTGTCCTCACTGACAAATGTGGTGCATTGTCATTGTGATTCGGGTTAAGGATGAGGACTTTCCGATACACTCAAAAACAACAATACAATCAAATAAAAAGAGAGAAACATATAAAGAATTTAAATGATTTAAAAATATTTACTTTCTTTCAGCAGATTCACTGTGCTGTGTACTGTATGTAAAATATGAGTCGATATTATTATTCAGATCTCTTTCCCTTTTCCCACCAAGCTCATTTTGTGTCTCCCCCCATTTTATTTGAAGCAGCTGCCAAGTGGGGGACCACATCCATAAGAGTGAACAAATTACACGTTTGCCCTTTGAGGACCCCATCTGCTTTGTGTATGAATAACATTTTCCATATCCGTTCTAGCTGGTTGGCATTTTGGGTTTAGGGAGCCACAGCAATCAGGACTGGTTTAATAATATGATTGAATGCCTGAGGTGAACCAAAGAACAGAAGGATAAAAGAATATCAGAAATATGGAAATAGGCTTTATTATCATCAGACTGTACTTGAACTGTAATCGGAGCTGTGGCCTGTTTGCCAGATCAGACAAGTGGTTCTTCTTACTGAATGGACTTGCACACTTGTTTCATCCTACACTCTGAAATAAATAAAACAACTCTCAAAAGCATTGCTTCAAACTGAACTAAGCCTTTCTGTTCTTCCCTGGCTTTACTTGGATTTAGTTTTAAATGTGACACTGAATTAGATTTATTAGTCTGATTTGTAGATATTGTCCCTAATGTTGAGTTATGTCCCCCTTGCTCAATTTGTGCCTCAAGGTCTAGAAAGCTTTATGTTTCTTCACATCATTTTCCCTTCAAGTCTTAGGGGGATTGAACACGTTAATGTGTCTGGTGACCTTTGGCATGCGAGACAAAATGAAAGGGTTGGTTCACCGAAGTCAATTTTCTCAATTAATTTGTACCACTTTCTATTGAAGAAAGTGTCCTTATGAAGGGCTGCCAAGGAGCTTCATTAAATATCCAGAGATCAAGGGAAATTGTTTTTAGAGAGACACATTTTTCAAATCTAAATTCATTGTTCTGAGCAGCACAATTAAATGTTCACAATGTGCATTAAACTGACTTTAAATATGGCCCAAAAAAGCTACTTGCGACAGTTTGCTGACAGTGACAGCTACTGAAACTATATAAACGTGCACCTTGCCACCTGCATTTCACTCAACTGCAAGAAAAGGCGTATATTGTTATCAAGTTTATTCATAATATCCTCTCCAAACAAGTCCAACAGCAGTTTAAAAGTACGTTTCAGTTAGACTCTTACAACATCCAAGGAAGTTTTAAGCCCTACACACTAGTTGAGACCCTACAGCTCGGATAATTATTTTATTGTTTATGCTGTTCAAGTCTGTCCTTTTCAGTCTTCTTTGAATGTTGTAGGATAGGGTTGATTTATTTTCCAAGGCTTCCTCAGGGGCATATAAAAGTAAGTTCAAAACCTTGTAGTATTGATTCTTTGTGCTAATCATTCCAGTTTCTTCAGGAGCATTCGAGGGCAGTGGACACATGATAGGTCTGTGTCTTCATCCTCTGCTTCATCTCTCTTATCATCTGACATACAGCCAGGGGGTAACAGCAATGCACTGTGGTCCAGTCCTCACACACACTGCCCTGTGGATAAACATGCAGAAAGGCACACACATACATGGAAATGCATATAGAAGAAGCACACATGAATGACACGAGAATGCAGCAGGAACACGTCCATAACCACAATGTACATGAAAAGACATTCACTCGCAAAACTTTAAAGTGAACCTATGACTGCATTTAGTAACAAATATATGATCAAGTTTTTGAATTGATCATCTACTTTCCTGAAAGCCATTGGGTTTCCATTTACTCTGGAGTCTTAAAACTTACTTGAGAAATCACCAAACTATTTTCAATTTTTAATGCTATACACATCATGGATATGTGGTAATGCTATTATAAGCATTAGCACATATAAGCAAGACCATTTTGTAAGGTCGACCTGTTGGTGTGTTCAAACACTCTCTAACAAACAGCCCAAATCTCCTAATTTCTCTTGACAAATAAGTGTTTTGCATGTGAATACACACACTCACCCGTATCTTGTACCGCTCCCTGATCCCAACTCGTATGGCAAAAGTAGATCCTGGTAACAGAGGCATGCACAGACACTCGCCATACTGGTGAGCTAAACTCAGGTCCAAACAACATGGCACCAGGGCCCCAAGAATACCTGCAAGCACAGGCACAGGCCAGCACAATGTGTGTGTGTGTGTGTGTGTGTGTGTGTGTGTGTGTGTGTGTGTGTGTGTGTGTGTGTGTGTGTGTGTGTGTTAGTTATGTGTGTTTACTTGTGACAGACAAAAATCCCATTCAAATCGCAAATTGCATTCTGTCAGATGCAAGACTAGACTAATGAATGATGATTTATTGGTTTGCACATAAGCTTCCTCAAGCAACATCATGTTAAAAATTATACAAAGAATAAGAGGGTCATAAAGTGACATGTGTAAAAGCCTGTGCTTATGGGAATACAGTTTCAGACTGTGTTTTCATGTTACATGTAGTCGTGTCTCCACAGACGTCAAACAGGCCAGTGCTCCATCCCCCTCCCGTCTGTGTGATGGTGGTGATGGTTGTCGTGGTGACGCCAAGGCCGGGCTGTGTGAGCACTGGGTCTGTCGCTGCAGGGACATCATATGACCCCCAGATATCTTCACTTCCTGTGGTGGAGCCTCCCACTTCCTCTTCATGAAACGCTGATGCTGAGGTTTGGTTCACTGACAGTCCTGGTCTGAAATTAGATTTGTAATAAATCTGTCTGTAGATAGATGGCTGATAAATTCATGATGGCTTGTAAAGCCTCTAATACGCCACTGATACTCAACTACAGGTTTAATGTTAAAAAAAAGACAGTCTCAAATTAGCAAATTAGTTTCTGTTTTGCTTACCTGTAACCAGGAATTCAATTAATTGAATTTTCCTAGAACAGTACTGTACTCAGCTGGCCTCCTTTATGAAATTTTAGCAGCACGACACCCCAATTACACTAACATCCTTATCCTATTAATATCACCTTACCACTGTACATGACAGCATTTATCCTTGCCTTTAACTATTTTAGGCCTTCAGCAACACTTTAACAGCAGCATATTGCAGTGAAGGCAAAATCTAAATAAGTTTGAAATTTAGTAGGAAGGAGGGCAAAATCAGGAAAACGTTCCTGTTTAGTTTGTATTAAAATTTATCAAAGAGACGTAAGAAAGCAGAAAAAGATTAAGAGGAAACACAGCAACATAAAAGGGCAGAATAAGATAAGTGAGCCATTGGCTGTAATTCTATTGTGCTCAGTGGTGACAACATTATGTACGGTTAGGGACAAAAAACCCACTTACTGGTGTGTGACTGTCGTCTGCTCCATGACTAGAAGCTACTGGCATCCAGAGGGGTGAGGCGAGGAGGCAAAGAGGAGAGGGTGAGCAGGGAGTCAGCAGGAATGAGGAGGTGGGGGGTGGGGGGTGGAGTGACACTTCCCCAGTGAGAGGGTGTGTGTCGGAGCAGATAAACCAGCAGTTGGATGGCTCGGCCAGAAGCTGTGTGACAGAGATAAGTCTTGTAGTTGTCTTCTGTCTGAGACTTTACTGTGCCCCCCGCTAATGCTACAGCAAATGCAGAGAGCTCAGATACACATCAGGGTGCATTAACACAAATGTCTGGCATAAAATAATCAGATGTGAATTAATGCATACACACCAACAGGGTCAGGTCAGAACAAGTTTAAATCTTGTAAAAAGTAGTTATTTCTGATAACAGGTACACTGTACATTTAAATATATGAACAAACATGAGAAATTAAATAATGACAAACTAATTTATTATTCTTTGCAAAATTATAGATTTCAAACATTGGCTCAAATAGAAGAAATCAATTCAAACTCACGACATTCATTGTTTCTATTAAATTTTCAGATATGCACAGTTACACTTACCCTTAAGGCAGAAACACAGACTCATACAGAGAAGAGCTGGGAAGTGAAAGATGCATTTTAGAACCAAAGAAACACCAGTGGTTCATTTTTAGAGGGGCTTGTCTGCATTGGTGTATTTCCTGTGCTCTGACATTGACCTTTAAATTTAGACTAATATACAGCCGAGTGTATGTGGGTAACAGAAAGAGAGAAGTGAGGGGAGCTTTACGTGGTGGACGGACATGTAGTAAAACTTTCATGGGTTTGGGGGACAGCACACACACACATGCACATTACAGTTGTGTAGTTAGCACATGAAATGTGAATGCTTTTTCACTTGGTTTAGCTCCTTTTCAGGATGACGAAAATATGTAGTGTCAATAATTCTTAGTAGACTATGCATCACAGATTGTAGCATAAAATGGATTACATTTGTATGCAGTCTTTGGGGTAATAAGTAATTTACATTTGATTGCTGGCAGTTGTTTGACTAACAGTGAACCCTGATGGAAACGTATTCTCCCAAATTCCCCCCAAAGCTCTCCCCCTCCTCCCATCTTTTACAGTACACTGTAAGTGTTTGCACAATATATATCTGATGTACATGTAATGCCATTTTGAACATAATCTATATTATTCTTTCACAACTTGTATATCTTATTCTTTTTTTCATTTATATATTTACAAACAAAACATACAAAATTAAAGCTGCAAGCAGCGTTGGGCGGGCCCTCGCACTTATAAGCGCGTCCGCGCGTGAGCCGGCCGAGTTGCACATTCTGGAGCTCTGCCGGTGCGGCTGTGAATTTCCTACGCGGTTCAGACGCCGCATGAAGGTGCTATATGTCACTTCCTGTGTCCCCTATGTGGAGATACATAGCACTTGCCGCTATGAATATAAATCGGTATTGGTGTGTAGATGTCTGCGGGGTGGGAGAGTTATCAAGCACGTAAAGTTTGTTTCAGATGTGAGCATGTACACTGAACAATAATGTACCCAAACAATAAAATAAATTCCTTTTATATTTCCCTGCCTTGTTGTTTATGTGTACATACAGAGGAAGAATGTGAGAACAGCACACATTTCATCGTTACTGTGTGTTAGAGCATGGGAGAACAGCGGATACTTTTAATACAGCCCACACCCCTAATACTGTGTAACTATAACAAGTAGAGAACAGAAGAAAAAGATGTTCTTTCTTTACAACTGTCTGCATAGCTTATTCATATTGTGTAATGAATGAAAATAAATAGGCCTACTAGGCTCCTCTCTACTTTGACATTTAAGATTAGCTTGTTTGATCCACCTTCATACACATGTGACATTACTGTACAACTTGAGAAAGGTGAGTTGTTTTCTGCTCCAGCCTGCCTAAAAGAAAAGCGTTTTTGGGATTAAATGGACTTTATTAGCTGCTGCAGTGCAGGATGAACTCAGAATAGACCCATTTCTCACCTTATTATTCTAAATCATGCAACGAAGAAGAAGAAATGCATAAGAAATCCTGGGACAAAATCTGTAGTCAAATACTGTACAGCATGTAGTCTAATGAACAAGACTTGTGTTATAGCTGACTTGGGCAGTGAAATGTTTTTTTAATTCATGTGGTCATAGTTGTCCACAACTCAAATCAGAATATAAGAAGAAATGTTTTATACCACCTCAAGAAGGCTTCCTATCAGAAAGGTAGGAAGGTATTTCAAATGTACAACTGCAGTACTTAATTCTAAGTAAAGTAATTTCCCTGACATTACTGTGTTACGCATGTAACAGGTTTGATAATTCCTGTGAGTATAATCCAATCAATCATATTTTCATACTGTATATCCGTTGTGTAATTTGATAAATTGTGTTGTATGTGGTGCTCGCATCGGGTACTACTGAGACTTCATTGCCCTCTTCAGAGAAGACTCTGACTGCAACATGCGTCTTTGTAAAGAGAGAAACGGACAGAAAAAGTCTCTAACTCTGCCTGTCAGCTCGCTCTGCTCCGTTAAAACTGAATTTACCATACAGAATTGAATACGAGTGCACTCCAGATTTAGCTGCAGCCAGCTGACCGTGTGCTTCTCCCTATACCGCAGTTCTGTGTCCATGCATGCAGCAAACTGAAAGCACTGTCTGTCGGAGCGTCTACGTGAAAAGAGAAGGAAGACATTGCTGGTAGTATTGTCTTCAGAGTTGTTAAACACCTCAGCGCACTGAAGGAAGCCATCTGACTGTGTGAGGGGCAAGATCGTTGATGTCTGCAGGCAGAGTAGGAGCTCTCCTGTCTGACTGGTCCACCAATAGCAGAGAAGATGACCCCTTGAGACACAGCCCCTCCTCATTTGCATAATGAGGCAGAAATGCATACAAAAATTTAAAAAAGACAGGCAGAAATAAATACCATGGGTGAAAATAAATAAGGTAAATAAATACAAAGGAAGAATAAAACAGACAAAAATATTAAAACACACACATAAATAAATACATTAAAAAGTTAGTAATAAATAAAGTTGAATAAACAAATAAGGTAATTATAACAAAGGTGAATAAGTAAAGACACTAATTAAAATATAAACATTTATGTCTCCTTGTATAATTTAATTACTACCTACATTTATTTATTTACTTTATTTTTTTGTGTATTTAATTGGATGCTTATTTATTTATTGAGCATTTATTTATTTCTGTATTTATTTCTGGCTGTGTCAGGATCGGTCCTCCATAACGGGGTGGGAGAGTTATCAAGCACGTAAAGTTTGGTTAAGATGTGAGCATGTACACTGAAGTTACAACAACTTCCTGTGTCATGGCGAAGACTTGATCTCTGACGCCACGCCACGGACACACCCATTGACGAAAACTCGCAAATAGCACAACTTTTCATCTTCAATGCCTTTAGAAGGCACAGCAGAAATTTGAAGTCGGTCGGACTAAATCCCTAGGAGGAGTTCGTCAAAGTACGAAGTGTGTAAATCATCCAAAATTTGACGTAAAATTCAAAATGGCCTACTTCCTGTTGATTTTAGGGCATCGCTCCAAGAGGCTTTTTTGTGCGTCTGGACAAGATACACGTACCACAGAAAATTCGTGCACGTAGGTGAAACGTGCGGCGGGGGCTGCTTCGTTAAAGGTCACTTCCTGTTGCCAGCAGGTGGCGCTATGACTGTGGGTGAATGTCAGCATGTACATGTGTTCAGGGCGGGACTCTCATCCTACATGTACAGTTTGGTGCAGATGTGAGCATGTACACTGAAGTTACGACAACTTCCGTGTCATGGCGAAGAGTTGATCTTTGACGCCACGCCACGGACACGCCCATTGACGAAAACTTGCAAATAGCACAACTTTTCATCTTCAATGCCTTTAGAAGGCACAGCAGAAATTTGAGGTCGGTCGGACTAAATCCCTAGGAGGAGTTCGTTAAAGTACGAAGTGTGTAAATCATCCAAAATTTGACGTAAAATTCAAAATGGCCGACTTCCTGTTGGGTTTAGGCTATGGCTCCAAGAGACTTTTTTGTGCGTCTGGACAAGATACACGTACCACAGAAAATTCATGCACGTAGGTGAAACGTGCGGCGGGGGCTGCTTCGTTAAAAGTCACTTCCTGTTGCCAGCAGGTGGCGCTATGACTGTGGGTGAATGTCAGCATGTACATGTGTTCAGGGCGGGACTCTCATCCTACATGTACAGTTTGGTCCAGATGTGAGCATGTACACTGAAGATACGACAACTTCCGTGTCATGGCGAAGAGTTGATCTTTGACGCCACGCCACGGACACGCCCATTGACGAAAACTTGCAAATAGCACAACTTTTCATCTTCAATGCCTTTAGAAGGCACAGCACAAATTTGAGGTCGGTCGGACTAAATCCCTAGGAGGAGTTCGTTAAAGTACGAAGTGTGTAAATCATCCAAAATTTGACGTAAAATTCAAAATGGCCGACTTCCTGTTGGGTTTAGGCTATGGCTCCAAGAGACTTTTTTGTGCGTCTGGACAAGATACACGTACCACAGAAAATTCGTGCACGTAGGTGAAACGTGCGGCGGGGGCTGCTTCGTTAAAGGTCACTTTCTATTGCCAGCAGGTGGCGCTATGACTGTGGGTGAATGTCGGCATGTACATGTGTTCAGGGCGGGACTCTCATCCTAGATGTACAGTTTGGTCCAGATGTGAGCATGTACACTGAAGTTACAACAACTTCCTGTTTCATAGCGAATCATCGACGCCACGGACACGCCCATTGACGAAAACTCGCAAATAGCACAACTTTTCATCGTCAATGCCTTTAGAAGGCACAGCAGAAATTTGACGTCGATCCGACTAAATCCCTAGGAGGAGTTCGTTAAAGTACGAAGTGTGTAAATCATCCAAAAATGGCCATAAAATTCAAAATGGCCGACTTCCTGTTGACTTTAGGCTATGGGTTCTTGAGGCTTTTTGTGCGTCTTGACATGATACATGTCCCCAGAAAATTTCGTAGATGTAGGTTGAACGTGAACGAGGGGCTAATTTTTTCTAATTTTCTAGGTGGCGCTAGCGAGTCATTTTGCAACGCCCATGTGCGAAACTTGTAGAATACGAAATTTTTCACCGGTTCTGACATGTTTGCAAATTTTGGTGAGTTTTCGAGTATGTTTAGGCCATGTCATTTGGGCCTACTTTGCAGAAAAAGAAAAAAAAAAAAAAAAAAAAAAAAAAAAAATAATCCGAGCAAATTCAATAGGGACCTCGCACGGTCGTGCTCGGGCCCTAATAAGGTGGAGTCTACATAGGCAGAACATAAGCTTACAACCTCTACCCCCTTGCAGCTACACTTTGTGCACATCATCCTCCATCAGAAGACTGCTCACGTTGCAAGATTATCTACACTATAGGGGCAGAGATCCGACAACCTAGCCAAAACCATTACACACTCTGGAGATGAGTCTTATTCTTGTAGGGAACAGTCGTCCTATTTATGTCCTTAGAAGGAATAAAACAGCATGGAGGAGAGAAAGAGAAACAAGGAGTCTGAATATTTCATAGGTTTTATAGTTTCCCTGGAAAACCACAAGTGAGACAAGCACCATCCACAGATAGAAAATAGGATAGCTGACAGGCTGACAAAGCATGAATGGAGTGATGTGCCTCACCTTCGATGTATAAAACAGCACAGCAGACACATTACCATCTATATTAAAACCGGAATTCAGGAAGATGTAGGAGCAGTCTCACAATGTAATAACATAGAAGAACTGGTTGGCCAGGACAGATCAGGAAATTGTGGGATGTTTGCAATCAAAAACCCCACTTTATTTGAAAGCTTTATTATACAGATAGCTGCTTGTTTATTATGAATCATATCAAAGAGGAAAAGTGTGTTCGTCAAGAAATATTACTAGATTTGACATTAATCTAACAGACTAAGAAAAGACGGAATAGAATACAAATTCTGGTGTTTTCCTACATACTAAATCCTTATTTTTGAGATATTTTAAATATTACATTTTTTTTCACACCATTGAAGAATTTAAGTACCAAAGACGCAGCACTCTGAATTTACTGCAAGTGTTTGTGTTTTTTAAAGGAAAATGGAAGCAAACTTTTCAGGTTCCATCAGTTTCATATATTCCCTTATGTTGCATTCTGCAGTGAAAAAGTACAGAACAGTGAGAACCTGTATATCTGTCAAATCTAACACCATGGGCAGTAGCAAATGGTGCAGAAACATAAATCATAAAACATACATATACTTTTCAGTCAGTGTTTCATGGCTTTGAGTCAAAATCCTTGTTTATTTTTATTTTATTGTATATTTCATGATGTATTTGAACCTTTCACAAATGATTCACTGCCTGTGTGTGAGAGAAAGCGAGTGAGAGGGCTAGCGAGCGAATGTTACTCTAATGAACCAGATAAACCAGACTGTCCCCGACGTCCACAGTGAGGCCGTTGTCAGCCAGAGTGACCCTCTTCTCCTCCAGATTGATGTTGAACACAGATTTGTTAGAGATGGGCAGTTTGCCCTGTTCCTCTTGTCCCATGACGGGCACCCGTCGTGGCCCTAGCAGGGGGTCCTCGTACCTCATCAACTTCACTCTGGAAAGATCTGGTGGAGGGGAGAAGGGCAGAGTCAGAGGGGTCAGAGATGAGGTGAGAGAGAGAGACAGACAGAGACAAGATAAAGAAAGAGAGAAAGGGATGAAAGAAATACAGAATAAGAGGGAAAGTTGTGGAGATAAGACACAGGAGGGGTGAAATGATGGCAGGGAAAGAGTGCAGAGTTTCTTGGATGGCTGGTGCTGGTTGTGCTAGCAGCACACTGGTAGAGATATTTGCCTTCACTGTTTTTAACAGAATAGAATGGGTATAAACTGCCATTTTATAAAGCACGTAGCTTGGTTTTGGATATAATGATGGTTAAAGCCAAATGTGGATGGATACTGCATGCCAGACGCCTATCGAAATTGCTTTAAGACAATGGTGGAAGCAGTGGATTCACAGTATGCAAGTAGTAGCAAACAGGTAATTGATTATAACTTTAACTGCAATCATCCCCCAACTTGCATTTAAATCACATGCTATTGAAATAAAGTAGAAATAACTACTCTACATAGCATAATGCATATTGTTACATCCTTTACCATGCTAGTCTAAATTTCAGGAGCTGCTGCCCAGCTCTGATACGATGTCAGCACTTTTTGTGAGCTGACTAATTAGTAAAACTTAATGCATTAGGCTGTTAACATTAACAGCACAGAAAAACTGCTAATGAGATAGAAAATACTAATAGTAGGTGTTTTTCCAATTACTGTCGCACTCAAACTACTCCCATCAGCCTTCATTGGTAGAAAAAAAATGGAGGAGATGATATGGGACATTAGACCCAGGCATGATTTTTTACTTACCTTTGATGAGTCTGTTGACCTTGGCTAGCCTACGGATGATATTGTCTCTGCTGTCCCCCTGTCGGATCTCAACCTTTGTAGAAAACAGGCCATTGGACGGCTGAGGGTTGACCAGGAAAACACACACTCCAGGCTGGGGAGACAGAGGCACGTCACAAATGCACAAACACGAAACTTAATTATCAATTTGAGTGTACGAACAGAACACACAAACACTCCAGCAGAAGGGATGCGTACAGCCAACATACAGCCAAAAGCATTTACCTCTGATCTGAAAACACTGAACGGCTTCCCTGGGCAACAGTCCTCCTTCACTTTGTCGTCAGCCTCAGATGCAAACAAGACATCTATCTGTTCCAGCTGTAGAGGAGTGATGTGAAAAAGAATGATAATCAGCTGATCAGTCTACCACCAGATAGTGTGTGTATACAGGTGTGTTTGGTATGCCCCGTGGCAAACGCTGGTGGTGTTAACAAGGTTCCTGCAGTGATCAGAGACGCAACATCTGGCTTTACACTAATCTGTCACACATTCCCAATCAGGAATGACATTTCAGTTTGAAACTGCACAGAATAACATGACTGTAAAGAAGTTTTTATCAATAGACAGATTTAAGGCGGAAGTTGAATCATAGTATTAGTTTGTGTGGTAAGTGATACGTCGCTGTTTCTCAGTCCTACATGATACAGCTCATTTCTGCATCATTAGCCTTTTGTGTGGCAGCTTATTTTTAGCTATGGATCTATCAGAAACATGGGAATTGGATTCAGGGTATTAACTTGATGTACATTATGTAGAATTCTCCTTTCCTGTGGTTAAATCTGTGCTGATTTCACAAAAGTATCTTTGGGATTTGGGTTTTACTTTTTGACTCTGCTAAGCTTCTGTGCAGACAAAAGATTTAAGGGCCTTCTTGAGTGACAGCTGAGCTCAGGATTGTCTCAACTGACTTTTGCAGAAGTAGCGAAACTCAGCTTTATAGTCAAGGTATTTTTGAGGAAATCAAAATGCTGCAACGGCATGTTAGAGCTTGACATTTATGCTGGAGCTAAGATGTCTTTGCTGTGTGGTATAACTTCAACAAATTCAGTATTACATCACCAGCTTTGTTCACCTCTGGGCTTGCAAAAATACTAGACCCCTCATGTGGGTTTTGGCTGGGACAGATACTTCTCAAGTGGGTTGGCCTTAGATGTACTGTATGATTTTAGGAATGTTGAATCACAAAAGATACCTCTAAAGAATTGGTTAAGTAGACCAGGTTCTCCATCAGAACTGTCCGCTCATCAAACTCCAGCTCCAGATCCAAGACCCTTGGCCCGTTCTTCTCCAGGTTCTCCTACAGAACACAAAGGACATGAAGTAATACACAATCTGAACAGGAAGTCAACATTCAGTTTCAAAGTTTCAAGTTTGCTAAATATTCTGACAAGCCATAAGTTAAAAGAAGACAAGGAAATGCAATATTTCATCACACTACTGGAGAAATCAGGTTGTTGTTTATAATTCAGCATTAAGCACACAGTTCATTGTTATGCTGATGCTGCCACAATGAGATTATTAATGGGAAAAAAGCTTTGTCGACAAAAGCTGCCAAAACAAACCATCAAACAAGGACAGCTGGCTGAGAAAACAACTTGAAAGCTGAAAGACCAGCTTGAGAGACAGACTACGGAGGAACTCAAAGCTGATGATGACTATTTATTAGTTTTGTTCTGTTTGATCACTGCACTTAAATAGCAACACCTGAAAAAAAGCCCTGGGAACCTATGGGATATGACAACTACAATTTTAACAAGCACTGTGCTTCTGATCATTCATTAGCAACTTGACCGTAAGTGTATATATAGCTCGATATAACAGAAACAATAAATGCAGTGACACCTTAATTTAACATTTTTACCATCCTGCCATGCATATTTAGTAAAAGCTCCTATTAGATCAAAAGAACACCTTAACTAGAAGTGATGCAGCTTGCAATGTGAAAGGAGGGAATAACAATTGTGGACAAAGACATATAGACCTCCAGCCAAGTTGTAGATGGGGGAAAAAAAAAAGATAGAAAATACATTTTTTATGAATGTGGCAAACAAACACAGGAACTGGCTGAGACAGCCTGTCAAAAGTGTGTTTTGCACATGTTCAATCAATAAACACATTAAACTCTGCAGAAAGTATTCCTGAAATTTCTTTGGAATTTTAATGTAACACTGTTGCTCAAACTCTTACTATATTGGGAGTTTTGTCATTGTTAACACAAAGAGGAATAATAATAAAAAAACAGCATTTAAAAGACGTAGACAAATCTTTCAGACCCTTAGACCCTTAAAAACCAAAAGATAAGCCGCCTTACAGACAAGTTAGGTAAACAGCTTCTTAGGCGGTAAACAAAGTCAACTTAAACAAGCAGAGAAAAGAATAAACACAAATAAGAACTATGCAAGCAAATATGTGCAGAATGCTGGTATTAAATTCCATATTTATGACTACACTGTCACCCCTACTTCCACCTGATTTACCTTGATCATGGCTACAAAAGGCATGACTCTCTTCATATATTTCTTCAGTTCAGGCAGGGCTCCCAACTCGTTCGCTATCACTTTATTGTCTGGAAGGGCCCCGTTGTTGCTCTGGGCAGACACCAAGAAGAAAAAGACGGTAAGATGCGCAGACAAATGGGAACAGAGAGAGTGGAAGAGTGGATAACTCATGGGAAACACAGCATAACATACATGATAATCGAATCTATGTGTGTGAATGATGGGTTGTGCATTTGTTTTTCACCTTGTAGTGCTTTCCGAGCAGGGATAAGGCACTGTGCTGCCATGGAGGGTAGCTCTTGGCAACGTAGATAGTGCAGTGGGAGGGTTTGGCTGGGGGTTTTGAGTCACCTTTCTGTTGAAGGAAAAAATGCATAAAATTTATCCAAATCGTTAATTTATCTTAATAGGCAGGTACACAAGACTTTGATGGTTTTGCTTTTATTCAGTACAGTGATAGCATATATTTCGGGAGAGGGTGGCCTCAATGAGAAGCAAACTGTTTGTGTGTGTGTTCTTCTGGAATGAAGACGGGAATCTGTGAACTTATTTTATGCGACAGCTGTCAAGTCTACTCCAATCCTGTACTATGTGTTTTCGCAAACAAGTCTTGATGTGACAGTATATTACCATTATAAATTAAACATCATGGAAAACATTTTACCTTTACAGTGGCAAGTCATAGAACCTTTACGGTCTCAATGCTATTGCAGAAACATTTCATAACTCAAATGTTGGTGTTATTCCTGTTACTTGGACTGAAAGTGTAAAGATATGGTTAAAAAAAAAAAAAATTTACAAGCCTGTAACATTCATTCTTTATTGGAAGCTTTTGTGAGTAGCAAAAAGGGAACTATAACTTAATTTTGTTATACAACCCTGTGTTGTTGTAAAATGATAAATAAATCTACCTTGTACCTTCCAGATTTTGCTTGGAATTGTGTTTTATTTTTCATTTGAACTTTTTTCAGTGCCAATTCTCCCTTTTTTCAGTTCAGGGCTTGTTTCCAATGCCACCTTTTATTTTCAATGCCAAAATCTAGTCACTGTCCTGGCTCCATACTTTTGCACATTAACAAAATCATATGATATGTCTTGTAAAATCATGGTCACATATTCTCTGAAGGCTCCAGCCATGGAGAGGACAGGGTTAGAAACTTAAAGGCCAACAAGATTTATCTGCCTCCTTAACATACATGTATGAACGGGTACAAACATTATTGTCAGCCTCTTCAGTCTCCCCCCCAGTCTCCCCCCCCCCTCCCCCCATCATCCCTCCATCTTGCCTCCATGGCAACAAAACATTTGCAGCAAATCAATAACAGCGGCCTGGAAGCCTGAGAAATCGTCTGTCTCAACTCTTGTCAATACTTGTTTTGCTTTTCTTCCAGCTGCCTACATCGACATATCGAAGTGTCGAACTGTTAAACAACAACAGGCTAACTTTCTTGCTGTGAACACAACACAGACTTAAATCCTCAAGTGTATCCAAAGTGACAGTCACACAGCCCAATATGACAAATAACACATTTGCTTTTATTTACAGCATACGGCTCCCTCAAACCTCGGACCCTCAATGTACAGGATGCTGTGGCAGAGATAAGGGAGACAATGTACAAATGCTTTGTCGAACTGTGTGGTCATGGAGGGGGACCATTTAAAAGTTGATTCATACTTGTAATATCGTTAGTCATATTTTGTATGCATGCTTCACACAGGGTCAGTGAAACTGGCCTGGAATGGAAAAATAGATTAAATATATGGAGAGCAGGTTTCAAGTAGACCTAATTTTTTGTTAAAAACATAATTTGTATGCGGTCTTCAAGAGGAAAATTCATGTCAGTCAGTAAGAAGGCAACTCTTTTTTTTTTTTTTTTAATCCAGGTCCAAACAGGTAAAAGACAGATTTTTTAAGCTCAGAGTCAAACAAATCCATCCTCTCTCTTTTTAATTAGCGAAGGGCAATATCTATCTAAACAGCAAATGTGTTATTCAGAAAAGCTTGAGCTTTAGTTCTTGGTTTTAGCTAGTTATAGTCTAGTTAAACCTAAATAGATTCCATAAGTGATGTGAAAATCAGATTAGATAAACAGATCTGAGTTAAACTTGATTCAGCCATAATAAAATGCTACTGAACCCCAACTCTACTTTCAGCATGCTTACTGATATTTTCAAGCCTCTTAATATGCTGTTTGTATTATTTTCCGCCTCATTGTTCTTCCCATCAAACAATCATGAAACAGTTAAACAACACCTGAGGGGGAAAAGACTGCCTCCAATTTAATTACCACAGTTAATGCACTTCGAGACAAGTGTTTGATTTCATCAGAACTATTAAAAATAAAGCAATCAATTCTGAAATCAATATTAATTTTCACAATTACTTAAAAAGCCATTACAGCAGTGAAGGAAAAAGGCAGTGAAGAGTGTGAAACAACACATTTCTTACTTTGCTTTTAGGGGGCTGCATGTATGCTTTGAGTCTCAGCCGGAGGTCATGTGCGGTCTCCATCAGGTACTGTGAGGAACGGATCAGAATCTCGTCCACTGGACCCGCCACAGGCCACGATGCCTTCCTCAGAGAACCGGTCTATCAGGCAGAGGCAGAGAGGAAAGGAGGGATGTCGGAAGAATGAAGGGAAAGATGGTTGTTAATGCATTTTTGTTATCAGGAAGTGTTTTGTGAGGAGATTGATAAAAAGCAACAAAAGTTTGAGGTCTGCTGGAGCTTTAGAATCCAATTAACAGTACAACTAGAGGTCAAACCACCTTTAGAACAAAACTAGGCACGCATTGTATTAACTGGGTTCGTGTAGGAACTCCAGACTAATGTGTGTACCTCTGTGTCCACTGAGTGCCTCTTAGCGCTATAGCTTGCGGCGCTGAACACATGATTGGAGTTGTGGGGCCTTTGTTGTTGCTAAGCGACAACCAAAGAACCCATCTCCAGCGCAGCAGCACTCTTTCATATTCATACATTGGAGTGTTAAAAATATTCTCAGCTCTGTGCTGTTTGGGAGCTTGAAAACAGTGTGTGCATTCCTTTCATACTGACGAGAAGAAACCTGTGGTGTGAAGACAGGCTTCTGCTGGATATGTACACCAACAGAGGGAGTGTGTTAGTAGCCATTTCACACAGGTAAATGAGAAGTGGGACCAGTACGGGCCTCCTTGACGTACACTTCTAAGCGTTTTGATCCCAGGTGTATTCATGGAGTAAATGAACACAGGAAGTTGAAATGTTTATTTTAAACTGAAGTTTCTGTTTTACTTGAAAGTATACGGGGGGAGATGAACACGAAAAGACAGAAGGGATGAGAACTTGAAAGTCGCATCTGAACCCTAAGTCAGAGCATACAAGCAACTCAGAACCCACATTATGATGCCAAATCCTTAGTTTCTTACCTTGCCCAGAAGACCCCAGGTGTATTCACAAAGGTGTGGGCATATGGGGGCCAGCAGCAGAGTTTGTCTCTCTATAAACTGGAAGACAAGGTCTCTGTGCATGCCCTCGATTGCCAGCTCACGGTATTTATCTTTGGATGCCTGCACATACACATAAAAACAGTTTAAAAGGTCATCATCATTGGTAATGTGTCACTGCAGTATCCATAATAGTATCTCATTAAATGCTTCGGGAGGATGAAAAGCATGCTTGTCTTCAGATATAAAGACGATTAAGAGTGTATTACAGTGTTTTTTTTAATAAAAAGAAATTTTATTTACCTGGAACTCAAAGAAGCCACTCTTCAGAGCCTCCTTGTACATCATCCTGTCATAGTGCTGCTCTGTCTTCAAGATGCCTGCATTCATCTCACTAGACAGGACACAAAATCCTTTCAATCAGTGTGCAAAGTCAGTTTACCTATCACTTTTCAGCACTGAAAAGTACAGAGTTATATAAGTCAGGATTTTCCGAGGAAACTGTCCAAAGTCTGAAGGACCGGTTTAATTTTTTGGCCAAAGTACATATTTTCAAACATCAATGCACCTAAGCTCACAAGGTCACACTGCAATGCAACTTAAAAGAGAAATAGACTCACTTTAATAAATCAAAAGAGTACTTTCAACCTTATCTGTAAATTAATCTATCTGACCAGAGGCTAAACATGGTATCAATGTTCTACCTCCGCTCAATATAGACCGGAGCTGAAATGATTTGTCGACCCAATGATTGAAAACTAATCAAAAACAATTTTAATAATAGATTAACCCTTAATCAATAAATTCATTTACTGCCATAAAAATCCAAACATTTGTAGGTTTCAGTTTCACCAATGTAAGCATTTGCAGTATTTATCTATCTCATTTAACAAATATATAAATGTATAAATAAATAAATGTTTTTTTAAAATGTATTTTTTTAGTATTATTCAGACTATATTTTTCGACTATAGGATGCCGAGTTATTAAAGATAAAATTCAGCTCTGTATTCCCTGTCTCCATTTATACGGCCTTGCTTGACGTGAAAGGTTTTCCTAAATAATTTATGTGAGCTATAGATCTGAGTACTCGTCAACCCTTACCACCCCCTCTTAATGCATTCCTGCATCTACCTGGCAAAGACCCGGTCGTTGAAAGTGTCTGCAGGTCCCGTCCTCAGGTTGTTTTGGTTGGCAATCATCTCCTTCACCCACTCCACCCAGGTGTAGAGGCGCAGGATGCCAGCGTCAGCCATGGTCTCCACAAAGTTGGCGTCCTCCACTGTGTCCCCGGCATCGGCTAAAGCCAGACGCATACCTGAGAAAGGAAAAGGTGTGTTAAAGCAGCAGGAAGTATAGGGACCAACAGCACAGGTGTGATGTAATTCAAGTTGATTTGTAGTTAACGTTTCAGAGCGAAAACACCTCCATTCTCACTGCTGTCTTTGTAATTTTCTCAAATTAAATATCTAACGATATGGTGCCAAACACTGAACACAGTAGGGCTGCAACTAACGATTATTTCCAATAACCAGTAACCTGTCAATTATTTTCTCGATTAGTTGTTTCAGAAAATTGTGAAAAATGTCCAGTGTTTCCCAAAGCCCAATGTGACATCCTCAAATGTCTTATTTGATCCAGTTTACTGTCATAGAGAAGTAAAGAAACCAGAAAATAAGAGTTTTTTCTTTAATAAAGTACTCAAAGCGATGAATCAATTTATAAAATAGTTGCCAACTAATCGATTAATCGACTAATTGCTGCCGCCCTAGAACGCAGGACTTCCATCCAAAATACTTCGACAACAAGGTAAAGTTCAGAGGCTTTGTGGTAAATTCCACAGTCTGAAGAAAACTTCAGATACCCAGCTTCCCTCTAAGCTCTTTGACAGGAAGTCAACTTAATACGTCTATCTGCTGTCAGACCATGAAGCTCTTTACTCCCGTGGCAGGACGGCTTCTTAAGACACAACAGGCACATCTATTATTTAGCTCACTCAGAACATAAAAAAAACAGAAGGCAGAAAAATCCTAAAAGAAAAACAAAACAAAAAGGATGATCGATTAATCCTTACGTATATTGCGGGAGGAGGGATACCAGAGTTGTCCCTACCAGGTATAGATCAAAAAGATCTGATAACCATAGCTAAAAAAAAAAAAAAAAAAAACAGACAGAAAACTAAATAAAGATATAGAGATAAACAAAATGGATTATCATAATCAATTATGCCAAACAAGACAGTCCCAAACATAGGGCTTTTATTTTAAATTACATTTTCAGAACCTAATTCTGCCACTGCCACATCAAGTCTCACAACTCATTAGTGAAAGCCTCGTCTTCCTCTCATGTTCCTACAAGTATTCAATTTAGATTGTATACTGTTCTTCATTCCACTGCGTCTTGTCGTCATGTGGAGAGACCAACCGGGGGTGTGTACTGCCTTTCTGGAATGATGATCAGGCAAATACATGAAAATGCATGATCGATTGGAACATTTCTATAGCAATATCAGAAAGCTGCAGGACATTAATTAGTTGCTTCAGGCGGAGAGATCATGCATGTATACATTGCCCTACACTTTGATTAAAGCATGCATTAAATTATTATACAGAAACATATTACTTACAGTTTAAGGGATCTGATTTATGCAAAAGCTCATAGCACCTAATATCAAAACCTAAGCGATCTTATGAGGATGGGGCGTTTTCTAATTATCTTCACCACGGGATAAAATATGCTTATATTATAATCAAGTGTTATGGCCCATGCACTATGAAAACACATTGTAGTCTGTTTTAGATGCACACCGGGTGTTTTTTCCCCCTCCTATGTTTCAATGAAACAAGACAATAGATGTTGAAAGAAAATCACGATAGAGAGACGAGTAAAAGATAAACCGCACACAAGAGGGTGATAAATCAAGATGAAACGGAGTGTACCATCGGCTGAGAACTTGTCAATGGCTTGGGTGAGAGTGAGGAAGTTTCCAGTTGATTTGGACATCTGGTGAATAGAAAAACAGATGTTAGCAGCCAGAATCTTTCAAGCATGCCCACCCACACAAGTTCCTTACAAAGCATAGTGGAATATAATCATCAAGTCACAGACTGTCTGTGTTTGCAGTGCAAATCAACAGCACACACAGAAATTTTAATTCTCAACGGCAAACACTAGTTAATTACTGGCACGCAAGAAGAGTAGTTTCTAAAAAGGTTTGCTGCAAAATATAATATATGGTTAATTAACTGTACTGTTTCGGTTGTGTCAGTAGTCAAAAACCCAGACCACATCAGATGGGACCGGACCTTTCTCCTGAGATTATAACCAAATTTAGAGATAAACATTCATATATATTGGCACACCTTTTCAGAATTGAGCAGCAGATGCCCGTTGGCTCGCACAGCCTGTGGCCACTTCCCACTGTGGACACAAGAGAAATTTTCTCATTAGTGTCACCTTCACCATCATCATCATCAATATAATCACGTTAGCCCTAAAACAAGGCTGCTGCTCACTTGTTAAAATCAAATTGAAAACTTTGTAAGATCTTTTTGGAATCCAACACCCAGCAGAATAAATATACACACTAGGGCTCAGCGATATGTTTAAAATCATTATCATGATATTAATGGAGGAATAAAGGACATTTTCCCATTATTGATTTATAACTCCATAAAACATCTCCACAAAATGTATGCAAAATCACATATAAATGAATAAAATAAATGGTTAATGCAAAGAACTGTGTTCCTGTGTTCCAGTGTTATGCTTTCTCTTTAAACAAGTAAAACAAAACCTCACTAACTAATTGAATTAGCTTTTAATTACAGTTTACTTGGAATTGTTAATTTAGAGACGAGGATTTTGTAAAACAATGACACAAAATGATCATATAATCATGACGCGATTCCTCTGAAATTTGATAAACAATAATAATTTTTGCATTTCTTGAGCATCTCAAGATAAAGGCTTAAGAAGCTGTAACTATGCTTCATGTAAGGACATCACCGAGGCGCACGCTGCAACAAGCTAATGCCTGACACAGAGATGCAATGTCTGCAGGGCTGCAGAAAACAATTATTTTCATTGTTGAATAATCTCCCTATCATACTCTCCATTAAGTTTAAATTGCCTATTACAACTCCTCAGAGTCCAAGATGACATCTTCAACTTGTTGATTTTGTCTGACTAACCGCCCAAAGCTCAAAGACATTCACATTACAACATTGCAAAACAGAGAAAGGAAATTGGAGATAGCTGGAACTAGTGAATGATTAATCAATTAATCAATAATCAAAATAGTTGCAGATTACTTTTTAAGTCAATCTCTTTAGTGGTACATGTCTGTAAAAAAACATTAGAAAATATGAATGAGCTTTATTTTGAGGCTATGAATCATAATACATGCTATGAATCTTGCCTTCGTTCATTTGCTCCTTCTCTCTGTAACGTTAAATCAAGTGGGCAAACTCACTTGTCTTTGGGCCACATAGCCACATGGTTGTACAGGTAGTAGGACAGGTGGTTGGGCACCAGGTCTTTGCCAGACACACGGACGTCCACAGGGTACCAGTACTCAAACTCCCTCCTCAGCCTCTGTAGATGCTCTTTAGGGATGTTGGTCTTGGGGAAAGGAGACGTCTTAAAGAAGATAAAGTCCCACACCTCTCTGGTCATCTGCTCCGGCCTGTAGTAAAGAGGGGGGAGGAAAGGGGTGGGGACAAGAATGGTCACGGGCGGAACGAGGGACGTATTGGGTTGAAGCAAGTTGAAAAGAAGTAATTAAATGCCTGCATGTCACTTCTCAGCAAGCAGTGTTGAGGAAGAGATTTGAGGATACTTGATATGAACAGTGGGCTATGAACAGTTTCTGAAAAGCAGCATTTCTCATTGATAAATTCTTATTATTAATTTCATGGATTTACACCAAAGAACAAATCGACTTTTTTAAACAAGCCTGAAAAGTAACAACTGTCATTTTAAATGATTAAATACATTTCTTAAATCTGAGTCTTTTCTCCCTCAGGTGAACTACATCTATGGCTGTTTGAAGGCGGAATGAGAAGGAAAAGAGAAGGAGAGGCAGCAAATAAGAAGGCAGAGTGAATCAGTTCGGGCTTAATCCTTTATTCTAGTGTGTGCGTGTGTGTACACATTGTCTCCATACTTGATGCCCAGTGGTGAGGTGCCCTGTCCGTTGAGCACACCTCCCTGGAGGAGGTGGGCTACAGTGTAGTAAGCCATGTAGATGGTGGAGTCCGATAGTGACTCAATCAGCCACTGCTCGTCCCAAGGCAGCCGCGTTCCTATGGTAACCAGGAGGCGTGCGCGCACACACACACACACACACACACACACACAATGGGAGAGAAAGAGACACAAAATTATGAAGGCAGACAATTGTTGTCTCCTCTGCGCTTTTGTTGCATTTGCCATTTTGTCAAGCTGGTTACATTTTAGTGCCAAGAAAAACAGTAACACACAGAAATGGAAGTCCTGGGTCTCATTGTGTAATCCTTGGAAACAAGCTGAGATATAAAGCTTTATCGTCAACGACTGCTTTTTTCTCTCAAATTTTAAGAGTGTGGTGGGAAATTTTTTTTACAAAGGACAGATTTACTCAAACGGCCTCAAATGCACTAAGCTCATGTTTCTGTGTTTCCAGAGCATGCCGATTGAGATCTTTTACCAGCTTTTCATCGTATTAAATTACATGCAAGCTTAAGCAGTAATTAATTTTCACAAGTAGTAGCTACATAAATATGAGATCTGAGCAACATTAATTATGAAATGTTGATGTAATCAAATAAAATATAAATGCTCCTACTCTTGCATACCAGATTTTTTTGTCATTATTTGACTTAAGAAATAAAACATAACATATATTACATAATTAATTTAAAACACGAGGTACAATCTCTCTATGACTCATAAGTTTTTCTGTATGAAAAAAACAAACAGATTCCACATCTTTTCTTTCTGATCAAATTAACCGAAATACAAACTTCTTTTGCATCACTACATTTGTACAAACAGTGACAATATAATTATAGTAGTATAATAGTATTTTTTGATTCTGTAAGTGAGACAGAAGTGAAAGAAATCTGCACAATCTGCTTACAGTAAAAACGTTATGCTTCATGTTTTGAAAATGTGTGGGGAGATTTCTACAGTAGGAGTCTACAACAGGCCTGGCCTGTACTGCACTGGCCTGCACTGTACGCCAGCTGGCCTCCAGTCTGCATCTATTCCTGTATGAACAGAGAGGCAGACTGTTGCTAGGTGCTTTATCATCAGTCCTCTGTCTCCATCTATAGACCAGAAACATCACTCATACACTGGTTAAAATATCATTAAGCCCTGTTCATCTTTTAGCAGGGTAGTTCATTTAATCTCAATACAAGACACACTGTTACTTTTGAAATATGCATGTAACGATGGCAGCAATAAAGTTGTATATGTCATGTCACAACAGCATTCCTGACACAATCATTCACACACATAAACCATATAGGCTATAACTCACCAAGTCCGTAGGTACGAGAGCAGGCATGCTCTTGTAGCCAGGTCAAAGATGCCTCAAAGTTTCTCCTGGTCTCTTCTCCAAATCTGTAGAGAATTGTGTAAAATAGAACATATAAAATCACAGAAGGTAACTGCAGTTATTTATCTGTTTAGACTTTGGCATGATAAGATTTGTTTTCAGCTTTTGGCATGATAGTTACACGCAATAAAGTAATTCCATTTATTTTAGATTTTCTAGACTTTCACAGGAAGCCCCACAAGCACGGACAAACACTACACAAAGCAAAATATGTCTGGGAGGAGAATTCAGTATGTCAGAGGGTCAAGTGTCTTACGTCTCCAAAGACTTGAGGGCTTCATTGGCCTGCTGCTTCCACTCTGCGTCTCCATAGTCCAAATACCTGAAAGACACACAATATCAGCACAACGCAAATGAAAGAAAGCCAAAATGGCATGAGACCTTCTAAATACAGACCATCCAATCATCAAAGTTTAATTAGGAGCATGAACCCATTTGAGAAAAAGAAAAAAAAGCCACCTTAAAACAAAAATATTTTTTTTAATATTCATTTCTATTCCGCTAGTTTCAATGACACTACAATCCACCTTCAGATCCACTTAGTGTGGCTTTGGTTTAGAGGTAGCTAGGGTCGCCAGTCCGTGGCAAGTTACTGAACCCCAAATTGCTCTAGAAGGCTGTGTGTGTGAATGATTCGATTCTTTCTGATGAGAAGTTGGACCTTGCATGTTAGCCTCTGCCATCAGTATGTGAATGGGATGAATGTGACATGTAGTGTAAAGTGCTTTTTGAGTAGTGGAAGACTAGAAAGGTGCTATACAAGTACAGTCCGTTTACAATAATTTCTTCTTATTACTAATGAACACACTTTACGTTTTATAGTATACAGATTTCAAGTGGCACTCACCACTGGTCACAGAGAGCCACCACACACTCATCAGCTGAACGAGACATGACCTGTTTTTCTGGCTCCATGTAGATCATGGCCTCGCCCTGTGATTGATTAGTACAGATCGTCATTACAGGTGAATAAAGATCAAGCATCCATCATACATGGCACATTGTGAACTGTACGTACTATTAACGGTGAACAAACATAAGAGACACAAAACAAAATCCAGGATAAAGGCTGAATTTAAAGTTGCTACATGTTATTTGAATATATTTCATTTTTACTTCAAATACTTTTTGTATTAGAAACAAAGAATGACTTACCCTCTCAACCAGCATCTTCTGGATGGGTTTTTTCACATCCTGGACCTTCTGCCCCTTGTAGCCATCAACCAGCATGATCTGAGATGGAATTCATTCACAGAAACATTTCATTCAAACTGATGCCTTTCTTTCACAATTCTAGCAGTTCTTTCAATAACAAGTAGGCCACGTCTCCGCAGTGCGTTCTACAATCACAAATGATCATAAACTGCTCAGTGGGAGGACACGGACTCAGTGTACACAAATGGAATGTGCTCTACTTGATGCACTGCTGCCTTTAGATGTATAATCCGCTGACAGTGAAGGCCGCTGAATTTGTAAATTTTAACGTGACTAATATAATGTTGGAACAGTGTCTGTGCAAAAAACTGAAAAATAAAAATTCTAACCCCCGCCTCTGTGTACAAACTAAGCCTGCTGTTTTGCACAATTTTTCAGCAGTAGGCAGATCCTAACTGGTTGCAAATAGCCAGTTAATGAATAATTTAGTACAGCTTTAAGTTGTGAATCTCTTGGTTTGTGTCTGGGAGATAAATCATACAAGTTTCAAACCCAAAGTTAAATCCACAGGGGTTTCACAGAGGGCTTGCATTTTGCTGACCTATGTAGCTGGGGTTTTTTATTACTCATTAACCACTAGACTCACCCCTTCATAAAATCCCTTCAGGTAGATTTTCTCTTTGGCCTCAGCCAGCTTTTCCTTGTCATTCTGGCTCTGGATCTTCAGCTCATCACACAGCAGGGGAGCAGACAGGTTCCCGTAGCCTGGTATCTCTATGATAGGGACCTGACATGTGCGCACACATATACAACACACACATTGAGGCTGCATTTAGCAATTTAGATCAAATTTTTTTCACATCTTTTTTTTTTACTAGAATTGCTGGGTTCAATGCAACCGGACTGAAATCAAACCGACTTTAACAGATCAGCTTACCGGCTCAAAGGGAAACACCATCTTGTCCTCAATGCCGTACTTCTCCCGCAGAGCCTTTCAGAAATGCAAGCATTAAGAATGAGACACAATGAGTGTTTCTTTAAATGGTCTCATTTTTGCCTGAAGAACCAGGGGTTTAGTTCACTTGAACTTAAGCAAGACTCATTTAAAAAAGGACAATCTGTTAAAACATATCAAAATCTTAATTTCAAAATTGCATGTGAATGTTTAAGATCGGCTCTGATTTCTGTGTTTCTCTGCAGCAGACTTCATTTGAGGTATAAAGCCTTGGCAGCATTGTAGAAATTTTGTTCCAAGTTCTGTAACCTCACCTGTTTTTTCTTGATGTCTCTGAGAGCAGCAATGTCATCAGGAGCATCAGAAGGCACGCTGGTAACGACCCCCGTACCTGCGGAAAACGCAGACAAGGCAAAAGGCCAACACATAAATGTATTTATGCAAATCAGATCATATTTTTCTCAGTGATGCTGTAATTGGGCACTGGGCACAAGAGATTCGATCTTACTGAAATTCGGACATTTCACCTTCAAAAATTCAAATCAAGTCTATTACAAAAATGAATTGATAGGACAAATGAAAGCAAACAGACTAACTACACCCCTCAAGCACCACAAACCAGAAAAATAGATAGCACTGACTTCAAACAAAACAGAGGCACTCTGGGTGCAATTAGATCCATTTATTATGTTTATAAATTTTCTCCCTCAAGGACAAAAAGCAGGCATTATTTCCATCCTTTGACATGACCCTACAGCACTTTCTAAATTAGATGGTGACCTTGGCCTGCTATTTTGAGACTCCCGTTTCCATGAGCTCCTCCAAGAATATTTAAGACAAGGAAAAATAAGGGATATAGTATGGTGTAGATTTTCTGCAGAAAGAAATACCTAAAGCAACAAGAGCTGGAATCTATTATCTTTATTTGAAATACAGACAGACAAACAAATTGAACCATTTCAAGCAGCTTCTTTTGAACCATTTGCCAACGGTCAGATGCATTTCACTCAAGTTCAAGCGCATATAAGAGAGAGAGTAAAGGTGCCCCCGCTCTAGGTTATTCTGACTGCTGGGAGCAACACTGGCCAAGAAACCTTTCAACAACTATGACGCAATAACCAATGTGACAAATTTCTGCCACACACACACACACACACACACACACACACACACACACACACACCAAACAACATAACCTCACTGAATAGCTATTCTCACTAACTTCTTGACTCATACCTTTGTCCTCCTTGATAGTGAGCATGGGCAGAGCATAGATGATCTTATAGCAGGTCAGAGGAGCACTCAGGGCACAGCCAAGGATATCCTAGAAAGAGACAAAAATGATGCGGAGCAGAAGTAATACATTTAAAGGAATAAGTTTTGCAGGTTGTTTGTACCATAGTCATAAAACCATGTCACCCCCCACACGCACACAAACACAGCTAATTTGCCTCTTAAATTCAAGGTGTCCCATGGATGATATTATTTAGTCTTAATCTTTTGTAAATACAAACTGCTGGACTGTTTATTTAAATCATATGAGACAATAGTGTTTGCCTTATGCCATTAAGTTTGAATTAAATAAAAGCAAAATGTTAAATTAGTATTTATTGGCAACTACAAGCAAGACAGACACAAAGTTAGTACCTGTCCCAGTATTTCCATGCTCACTGGCACCACTCCATTCTCTTTGGTGAAGCCCTGGTAAGACATGTTCCTGGCAGACCTACTGGTACAGATGAAGATGTCTCCGCTGGTTGTCTCAAAGGCAACATACTTGATGTCGGGCCTCACCCAGCAGTTGGTCTGGCCAAACATGGTCTCTGCTCTCAGAGTGGCAGCCACCAGGAAGATGTTTTTGCCTTTCATGCCGCTGTGGGGAGGATAGCACTAGCATTTTACTTCGGTCTCAGATTAAATGTTAGTGTTTATTAAGATGAGAATTATTCTTAAGCAAATGTAAAACGTTGTTACCTGCTATAAAAGACTTTGGACTTAAATTTTGCTGTGTACGGTTCAACCACTTTCATCTTAATGAGCGTGTACTCCTGAGGTCCAACACCCTGCATGTGAAGAAAAACAACAAATTACAGCTACCAAAATACCTCAATTCAAAGTAAGAGACAGTTTAAAGGATTGAATTGCTTTTCCAGAAGATTTTGTGCTAACATCAAACAGAACTTTCTTTGTCACTATTTAACTACAGGAATAATCAAAAATGGAAAGTCAATTAAATCAATAGTGATCCCATGGGAAAGTGTTGGTGATGTGTGAGGTAGCGGTGGTAAATGTGCACACAGCCTCCTTTTATTTCTGCTGTAGGACTCACAACTGATCAAACATAAATCATGAGAATTTTGTTTTTCCACAGCTAATACATTATTTCATTGGGCCAGGTAAGTGTACCTCTCCCGTCTGCCTGTCATGGTCCATGCATGGCTGTCCATCCCTGGGGGAGTAGATGGTATACCTGCAGAGGAGTCAGACACAGTCACATTATATTACTTAAAGAACACAAAATGCCAAAATATCAAGTTAAACCGACTTAGACAAAAAAAAAAAACTTTAACGTCAGCCATCTATAAATGGCTTGATTTTAAACACCCACTTCGCTTTTACCATATGGCAAGAAAGTTCAAGTGATCAGGATAGCAACAAAGATAAATGAAATACATTATCATATTACATAATTTATAACATTTTCTTTTTTCCTATATCACTGCAAGGACATTGTTACAGAAAAAGTGACACAGTTGCACAGAGTAGAAACATCTAAACCATCTCACCTTTTGCCAAACTTGATCTTTTTTCTCTCCTTCAGTGTGACAAACTGCCACCTGACGAAGGAGTCATAAAAGGGGTTCACATCTGTGGTGATGAATGAACGCCTCCAGTCCACCTGTGAAGAGATAACAGGACAGACACCATGACCACCATTATTGACTAAAATTAAAAACCTGATTTAATCGTCCTCAGGGCCAATATCTTCTGGTAAATTCTGGGTATCAAGCAAAAAGATGCCTATGGGCATGTACCTAGGGTTATCGAGTGTGTACACATATTTTTTGATAATTTTGCCCAAATACATTGAAAGAAAGCCCAATGGTTGATTATATTTCACTGTCATCAAAGCATAGAATTACTTAGATACATAGATAAAAAAAAAATAAAAGAGACAGAACTTCATTACTCCCAAAGGAAATTCTTGTGCCAGAGATTATAGTTTACGTTCTATCTGCATTTGTTATTTTTGTAATTTATAACTGATAAATTGAATGGTCTTGATTGGATTAATCTCGTCATATTTAAATATAAATTTTGTTGCTAACTGCTTTGGCAACATTGTTTAAATGAAACATTCATGCCAATAAGGCACACTGAACTGAATGCTAGATTCAAGAATAAAAACAATAGAGTAATGAATATAAAGTGTACAAGGAATAAAAGCTAACACCGCCTAATAAAACAACACTAAAAGTAAGATTTATTATATTGAAAAGTAATAAAAACTAATAATGTATCCATCCATCGTCAACCGCTTATCCTGCGTCCAGGGTCACAGGGGGCTGGAGCCAATCCCAGTAGACATCGGGCGAAAGTCGGGGTACACCCTGGACAGGTCGCCAGTCCATCGCAGGGCCACACATAGACAAACAACGACTCACACTCACACTTAAGGACAATTTAGAGACACCAATTAACCAAGCCTGCATGTCTTTGGATGGTTGGAGGAAGCCAGAGCACCCGGAGAGAACCCACACAGACACGGGGAGAACATGCAAACTCCACACAGAAAGGCCGGGGCAACCGGGGTTTGAACGCACGACCTTCTTCCTGTGAGGCGACAGGTGCTAACCACTGCACCACCACGCCACCCTCTAATAATGTATATTATAATCAATTTAATATTGCACCTAATGTTGAAAAAGTAATATTGCAAATGATAGTTTGAGTGTAATACAGAACCCATGATATTGATGTTATTGTTCTCAGTGTCCAATGTTTCAGCTGTCCTTCCTGCTAAAGTGGGAGGGGTTCAACAAAATTTCCAAACAAAGACAGTAGTTCGCAAGAAGTCATCATTATTGTAATTAGTCACCTTGACTCCCATATGTTTGAGGTCTTTGACAGCTAAAGGAGGGAAGTACTCCAGCCAGTGTTCAGCACTGGCAAACTTGGCAATCTCCTGGTCATTCAGGCCCAAAGACCTCATAATGTCCCACTGGAAAGTGGCAGATCCGGATTTGGCCACTGCTTTACTCTAACAGAGGATTAAAAAAAAAAAGTGAGAGATATTGTAAATTGAAACACCCCTTGTGAATCCTGAACCCAAAGAAAACTTGGAATAATGAACACTAATCAGTTACTAAATTCCTTTTTTTATCTCTATGTAAAAAATGTCATCAGTCTAGTCCCTCAGATCCTGACCTTCTTGCCCTTTGCTTTGTCCTTGATGATGATTTCATCACATGTCTGTGGCTTCTCTTTCTCTTCTTCCTCCTCGTCTGGAAACTGTGGAGGGTTTCCATAGAGCTCCATCTCTCGCTTTAGCTTGTCTGCACAGGCCTGGCAGATACAATATGGATGGATGAATAACAGAAAGAAGGAAAAGGCAGCGTGCGCGCATGCGTGTGTGCGTGTGTGTGTTGGGGGAGCGGGGTTGAAGACAGGTATGAATTGTTAATAATACTATGTAAAGATATAGTAGAGTAAGCTGAGAATGAGCTGAGAAGTGTCTTAGGGATTTTGACCAAACCAAACTTGGTGATTGCAGGAACAGTGGAAAGACTGACAAGGACGATCTCCGCAAGTTTTATTTATTTTGTGTTGAGTTTGAATGAAATGTCTTTACGATGACCTGCAATTTAAAATCATTATTGTTTTCAGAGTTTGGTGGCGAGCAAGAGCAATATAACAGCTGTTTCTGATTAAACAAAAATGACCTTAATGTTTAATAAAAAGGTCTCTCTCTGTAGGGATCCTTTCAGTTGTCATGTTTTTTCCTTTAATTTGCGGTTGGTCTGAATGCTGCATAATGTGAATTTTCTCCTTGTGACACTTTCCTCCCGTAACTTACATTCGCTGCAAGTGTTCACACACAACGCATGTAGGCGATTTTAACGCAATAACGTGAATAAACACAACTGGCAATTACTACAACTGTATGAACCCAAAGTAAACATTTTTCCATATGATTAATTAGCAATGAATGGATTAAACTGATGCTGAAATAACTACAACATGATGCAGATTTGTTAAACATATGAATTCATGCTTTGTCAGGTCTGTCAGCAAGACAACAACTTCTAAAATGTTTTTTTTCCTGAATGGAGTTTGGATCGATCAGGGCTATTCTATGCTAACTTGGTCACAGTAAAGTACAATGATAACTGGAATAAAGTTACAGACATATTTTCTGAACTCACCAGGTAGTTCAACCTCCTTGCTTAATGTTCAGTTTTGTCCGGTTTTTATATAAATATGAAGTCGTAGTCCGACAGAGCTAACATCATCACTGGAACCAGATGTGCACGGGAGCTAGCTGCTGAGAAGCTCCAGTCAAGATAAATCAACGTTGTAATCCCAAAAACTATGAGCTCCTCCCGCAAGTAAATGGCGTAGTTGTCAGAGCAGAATCCGACCAACTACGGCTTTTTATTTGTCCAAAGGTTGCAGTGCTGCTCCTCTCCCCCAAGTTTAGCAGCTCTCAGCCGGCCAGCAGATTTTCAATCCCCCGCTCTGCCTGGCCCTCTCCACACATCGCTCTGAAGCCGTCGGTGATGTACGGACAATCTAAAGCGTCATGCGACTTTCTCGCTTGAGTTGAAAATATTCAACTCACCCGAATTCCTTCGCGTCGCCGGTCTCGCCCCCTTCGCACCGCCTGACAGGAAATCGCGGCTCTACGTGTCTTTGCATTGACTTTGTATGTAAACTCACCACCCCAAACGCTGCTTCACTTTTGGTCTGAAAGCGCCATACACTTTTAGAGGACGTATGTTACTTTGACAGGCACATTTGTCCCCAAGGATTAAGTTTTGCCTGCTTCATAGCTACCGGCTGAGGTGTAGAGCCAGAATAGTGAATTAAAGCTTGGGCAGGCAAAGAAACTTGCAAGAAACAGCTATATTTTGAAAGTATCCAACCAAAAAACAATCCCACCCTCCTGCGAAACTACTTCCCCAAAACACATTTTCATGAGCAATGAGTGCATGAGTAGAGTGTACGCAGGTAGGCAAGCCAGATTTCTTTGTGTGTGTGTCAGAACATTTGATTTGTGGATTACTGTCGGGATGTAAATAGAATTTCAACAAATGTAACAAAAATGCTTCTGAAACAAATTGCTGGGAAGACAGATTTGGTGAGTTTTTATTTTATAGCTGTCCAGTTTGAAAGACGTGTGCGAGTTAAAATTACTGTTTTTCCTCAATTGAGTCTGCTGAGACCATTTGTTTCGGTCTGAGATGTTAGTGACTAGTGCAACATTTAGAGGCACTGAATGTTGCATACAGTTTCTTTAAAAAAAACATAATGTAGTTGGTGACAACTTTCGCGAACCTCATATTGTGTTTACTGAATGAAAAGTGGGAACATTATGTCAGATCATAGGTCCTCAAAGAGAATATACACTGATTTTTGTTACAAGGCAATACCAACAATTATTATACCTAAAATGACATCCTCAGTATGACATTGTAACAACACATACAGGAGCTGATGGAATGAAAAAAAAAACAACAACACTAACTTTGATAGGCATTCCTGTGCAGTGCAGCCCGAATGGGAAGAGGCATTTCTTTCCTTTCAGAGACTGGTAACCAACAGCAAACTACAAGAAAAAGAAGTTGGACAGCAGCATAAGTTGAATATGTGTATCTCAAGTAGGTACAGACAGAATAAGTTAATTTCTCAGTGTTCATCTCTGTGTGCTTTTGTACCCTAATTTACCTCACACTTTGACAAGCTGAATGTGTGGCCGAGGTGCAATCGGCCATTCATGTAAGGGTAGGGGAAGGTGACAAAGTACTTGTTTTTGCTGGAAAGAAAAAAACATTTCATTAAAATATGTATTGGAGACAAATGATTTAATACCTACTATACCTATTAAGAACACTAGTTCCATAAGGAAAAATCCTGAGTATGGCAATCTATGTGAATTACTTGCTTCCCATATGGTACTATTCCTGGATCAACTGTGTGAAAGAGAGTAAAAACACTCGTAGAACACAGGGTCTTTCTTCATGATACCGGAAACTCACTTTGTGCTTTCTCCAATTGTTGTTGGTGCATCATGCTCAAATGCCCTCTCCTTCTCCCATTTCTCCTGGATCTCAAGCTCAATTTTTCTCAAAAAGTCCAACTTTGCTGTTCCCTTCCGCTCCTGGAATACATTGACGAACCAGATGATAGTTCATTACAGAAAAGCCATTAACAGTAAAAGTGACAGCAAGTTCACTTAATAACGTTACAGATTATATCATAACATGAAATACACGTAAACTGTTAAGAACCGAGAATATAATAGAAACAGAATACATACTGTTCAACGCGTGTTTAACATGAAAATATCTGTAATCTCTGGTCTAGTGGAGTCAGATTTCGTTCAAGTCTATTTCTGCAGCTGGCTCGACAACTAGCTTATGTTAGCTAACTTAGCTAATATAGCTACAGTAAATTCATGAGATATAGCATAGCCACTGCCTCCAAACTAGTATTGACCATTCTTAACTGCACATAATTAAAGCATTGGACTTACCGCCATTTTGACCCAACTTGCAAGCAATTCACAATTCTATTGTTTAGACAGAAGAAACAGTAGAAATAGTTTCTAGTTTGACAAGGGAGACCCACGCCACCTGTGCCTTGCTGATGACACCCACAAGCAGCTTCTCGCTTGGTTTTCTGGGAAATGTAGTCCCTATAACTTCGCATCGTTAAAAATGTATCGAACTAGGATCTTGATTCGTGTAGTGGTTATTTGATAATTCTCAAATATTGTAAAACACAACTGTAGGTAGTTTATATGAATTTAATGAATTACTGTTGAATAAAAACCACGGTGTTGTTATAACGACCTTCGTTACGACAACTGAACTTGTGTTGCCATGCCGTAAAACACTTCGCCCGACCTGCCAGTGAAGAGAGACATACGGCCTTAAAGCTTATAAATTTATAGACGATGAAAGTAGGGTTATCAAAACGCACTTTCATTTTATAGACAGTATTATAGTCTTTCTCACGATGATCATAGAGAATGTTGAAGCCTTGAAGTCGTGGCTGGCAAAACTCCTGGAGCCGATGTGAGTGTTGAATTGAAATGACATTTAGCTTGCATGCTACGTAGCTACGTTAGCTAGCTAGCCAGCCAGTGGGTTAGCAAGGCATCAATGGTGGGCTTGCTAGAAGCTGATGGCAAATTCTTGCACGAGTTAGCTAACCACCATTGCCGCTAGCTGGCTTTTTGTAGCAAAGCGAGGCAACAGGACTTTGCATTAACTAACGCTAAAGAAATTGAAATAGTGCATGGTGTAGTAGTTTCGTTTGTCGCACAGTTATTTTAGGGTAGTTAGGCACGTAAGTTAGTTGGCCGACAATACTGTGACTTTAGCACAAGGCATAAAGCTGCAAGAGATAGCCTAACTTACTGCTAACGATACTTGTGATTCAAATAGTTAACGTTTAATCTGTTGGACCACATCCAGCGGGACGTTACTGAGTTATAAATATGTTTTATAAATAAATAAGAATAGTTTGCTTTTTGGGTAACCATAGTTACACACACTCTTTTACTCTTTCTCCCTCTGTCTAATGTAAAATCGTAAAATTAGCATGCTTTGTAATTACAAGAGGACACAGATGCTACCAACGCTCATAAATACATTTAACAGTGATTAAAGAGGATTTGACATGTAGTGGAGTAGACACAGGTACTGTTTAGATGATGCACTAACAGTCAACTAAGTTACTGTTTCACAATATAAATTTAAAGCTAGGGTTCTGTCCGGGAGAACAGTTTTGCTGTAAACTTGTTGAATTTTGATGAGGTAGCTTTGTTAACTGTCCAAAAAGAGTTCTCACTGTTCTCCTCAGGCTTTGTGTGTTTGTAATGTAATTCCTATGGCCCACCACTTGCTTTTTTTAAAATTTAATATATTCAAGAATGATTTCTTTCATTTGTTTTAAAAGTTTGGAAGCTATTCTCTGAAGTGTTTGTTGTAATGTTCTGCCCTGCAGTCATTGTTACAGGTCTCGCTTGCTACTGATTATGTTTAGGCTTGTTTTGAAAATGTATGCATGGATATCTACCACCACACCATTGACACACTGTAAATTGCAGTTGGTCTAATTATACATTTGAATTCAGGTTTCTCTCTCAGTTTTACCTCTCTGTTTCTTCTCCACTTTTTCAGGTAGTAAGTAGTTTGGTAAAAGCTTCATTGCATTTTCCTTTTGCATTGGATTGTTAAAGTAACATATTGCGTAGCTGAAACTGAGAATACATATATTTTAACCTGCAGATGTGATGCTGACCCCTCTGCATTAGCCAACTACGTGGTGGCTCTTGTGAAAAAGGACAAACCGGAGAAAGAGCTGAAAGCACTTTGTGCTGATCAGCTTGATGTCTTCCTGCAAAAAGGTATGAAGTCCACCTGCACAAAGCTACTCTGCTAGTATGAGTCAGCGCAACCTGCAGTTTTGATATTGAACCTAGCTCTTGCAGGTCAAGAAAGTTGTGCTGAAGGGTTTCCTCCAGCAGAGATATCCCCAAGAGGGTCCAACTGCAGACCTCCTCTGTCAGGCCACCTCCACTGTCAGGCCAGTCAGGACAGGAAATGCACGCAAAAACTACAAAATAAAAGCGTGTGATTTACAGGAAACTCATTCAAAGTTTAATCGCGTAGACATAGGGGGAGGGTTTTTGTCGTTGATTTATATTTAATTATTTAGTCAACATTGTAACGGGAAACTAGCAGGCTAATTCCTTAAATATAGCATATTGATTTCAACCTGTTCTACTTAGCTTTTAACATGCCAATGTAGCAGCAAAGCCCACTCTATATCGCTTCAATCATTCAAGTAGTAACCGCATCTTTTTTTACAGGCACTATTTATTTATTCTGTCAAAATATGACGTTAACTCCATCCATACAGCTAGCCACATCCATTCACAGAAAAACATCGTTGTTTAATTTTTTAAGAGTGTAACTTAGCCTCTCTTCCAGTCATCTTAAAAGAAACACACACACACCTCATTCATAATTTACCTTTGAAGAGTAATATACTATGGCATTTTACTGCAATCAGCTGAATTTAGTAGGAAAAACGGACAACTGTGGAAACTGGACTACAATTTGAGCTTCGTGGGAGTTTGTAGTATAACGGACGTTACCGGCAGAGTTTAATAAATAAATAATAGAAGCCTGGACAGAGACTTCATTGCTCATTACATGGTCAACACATTCTCTCACACACAGCAGCCCACTACTTGCCCCAGATGTGTGTGATACTGCAACAAAGTTCAAGTTTTAAAAGCCTGAAACAAACCAACAAAGACTACTGCTCAAGGAGAGACCACGAAATCCACACTTTATGGTATCATATTAATTATTAATCATGTCGTAATGACATTCATGCGGTGTGCACCATAGTTCGTTTGGCAAACGTGTTTGTGTTTATCTTATTAATATATTGTACATTTGTCATTAAAAATAATGGTTATTGTTAAACGCTAACGCTAGCCACCGTAGAACAACAAATAACCCAATTTACACACGCGTAACATTCTGTAATTTAGATGTACAATATTGTCAGTGGTAGTTATTGATGGCGAACATATACCAAGAGCAATGCATTCAGACTTTACTCAATGTTTTTCATAATGCTAACCAGTTACCTACCGCTGTCGCGATGTGTAGAGTAGCGAAACAACCGAGAATGCATCACGTTACTCCCTGTGGGGATGTAAAAAACTGACTGGCCTGACAGTGGAGGTCTGCAGTTGGACCCCTCTTGAAATATCCATCATTCAACAACAAAACAATAGAAAACGTTTATGTCCCAAATCCTCTTGGAATTACAGTTGGTGGCGTTAAGTCAGTCAGTTAAGTGATTGTTTGCAAATAGTGACAAATTTATGGGGATCGGGTTAGACAAAGAGCTTCATCTAAACAAAGCAAAATAGAGATTATTTAATAGAAGATGGTTCATTCAGAAAAAATGAGTGATGGATAAGGCATATTGGCTTTCACCTGTAGGTAACTGATAACTACCAAGGGGTAGTCATAGTAAGCTGGTTTATTTTCATTTTCGATTAATCTGTCTCTATTTTCTCTCTTATTAGTTGTTTAGTCCTATAAAATTTCAATCAGTGATTTCCAAAACTCAAGCTGACGTAATCCAATATCTTGTGTGTTTTTCCACAACCCAAAGATATTCAGATTACTGTCAAAGAGGAAACAGAAAATATTTGCATTTTTTGCGGTTTAGTCTATTATCAAAATTAGGGATGAAACGATTAACGGTTTAATGATAAACCATGGTAAAAGTCCAGATGGTTATTATTACCGTACACATTTTGTACGATAATCGGGTTTGGTTTCCGTGCTATTATAAACTCACGGCAAATACTGTCCAGCATCAACCAAAGTTAGCAACAGTCTCCCAGAAACAGGCGCGCATGCACAATATGCAACATGGGTTTGTTTGGGTCAATGACAGCACAGCTGAACTCTGAAGTCTGGTCATGTTTTAGTTTTAATGAGAGTGCTGATGGAAACTTGATTGAAGAAAATGACCTTAGAGTGAACGCAGGTTGAGTTAACTTTTAGCTTTGGTTTGTTTGTCTGACTTGCTAACAGCTTGTAAACTGAAGCTCTCAGTGCTCTTGTAAAAACACTACACGTTGTTCTGCTGCTGTGTGCGTTAAGTGTCTGCAGACTATTCATTCACTGCACATGATAACACGTTGCGCAGTTTTAGTCAACCAACTAACATATCTGGTTCATTTTAAATCCAACAGCTATCAAATTAGTTGTAAAAGTGTCAGAACAGAAGAAATGCTACAGACTGCTCTTTATTTATGTCAGTTGTTGGGCTCATTGCACTTGTTGAAATGTATGAAACATTTTAATCTTTTTCGGTGCATTTTTACAATACCGTGATAATACTGATAACGGTGACCATTTTTGTCACTATAATTGTGAAATGAAATTTTCAACCGTTTCATCCCTAATCAAAATAGTTTCCGATTAATTTAATAGTTGATAACTAATCGATTATCGTTGCAGCTTTTTACATTCTTCAAGCACACATCATGTTAATGCAGCATCAGATTTATGAGTGGTGAGATAGCCAAAATGCACAGAAATGAATAGTGCCTTGGTAAATTTCTTCCAGATCAGTTATACATTCAGATGTGCTATCTGCTTTACATTACACTATTGCCATCTATCATGTGTGGATCCCCAATATGACCACCAGAGGGTGTATTACATCATTTCAAGGATTTTACTCTCTGTCTCTAGCCTGCATGACATGAAGCATCAACTCATTTAGCTCGAGTGAAGTTGTGCTTCCTTGCATGGCTGAAATGATTTAATCATTTGACTCTTGAAATGTACAGTATAATGAAAGAAGAACAATTTTTTTTGTTCATAGGGGGTTTGATTGGGTTGGTGATCAGTACATATGTTTCAGCAATTGCTTTATCACATGTTTTCCTAGTTTTTAAAACTACTGTTTGATTCTGTGTCCTTGCAACAACACCTTAGTTTGCTAATTGAAATTGATATTATACGCTTTCAAGCTGAGGTGTGTTATGTTGGAGAAACTTGGAGAAGACATCTAGATTTTGAAAGCAAAAAAAGTCCCTCCAAAACCACTACCCAAAAACAATTTCCATGCACAATAAGTGCATTTAAACACATGTAACAAAAATGTTTCTGAAATAAATTGCCTACCCTAGCGTCGACCATTTATGCACAAAAGCACAGCTCAAGTCCACAAAATAAGTTACTATGTCCAAAGCTTGTCAGAATTTATGTATAACAGTCCATGTTCTTGGTAATATTATACTTAAAGATTGCAGTCAAATAAATGGTTCAAATTACCTCCTTCAATTACTTTGTAGCTTGCATTATCTCCCTTTTTTATTATGTTTTTTTTTATCAAGCAGCTTTCACCTTTTTTCATCTTTGTGCTCTTTCTGTCTTGGTTATTCATTTGGGGTTTATTAAGCTTTGGATATATTTAGCACATCCGGGAGCAGAGCAATATTTTAATGTAGTGTGATTCAGGAGGAATGTACATTTCATGCCCGCGGGCCAGTTTGCTCTTTTGAGGGGGAGACTGTGCAAAATTGCACATTATTCAAAACTCATTCAAGACGAGATTCCTTTTTATTCCTTTTATCATTGCAGAGACAACAGGATTTGTCGATAAACTTTTTGAATGTCTGACAACCAAGAACTACCTGGGAAATCCTGCCGCCAAGGAGGCCCCTAAAGAGGAGGTCAAACCACCTGCAGTGAAATCTGATGTTGTGGAGGTAAGAAGAATTAGTAAGAAATGTATTTACTACATTCGGACGGTCAGTCTCGTTGCATATTAAAGCGTCTCTATAGTGCTTTTGTAGATGAGTAGATGGAGCGTAACACAAAAGACATAGCTCTGTGTCTGTAGGGGGTTTTGGATAAAAGAATTTGAGAAACATCCCATTGTGTATTATAGGACACACTGTTTAGATATCTTGACTCAAAATGGTTCTCTCCAGACTGAAAAGAATCTTTGTTTTTCTAAAAAAAAGAGTTTAAGTCAAGTTAACTTCTTTTTTTTCCCCTCAAGGCTGAAACTCCAGAGGAGGAGAGAGAAAACAGGCGGAGGAGAAGTCCTCTGAGAAACCGTTCTGACTTCAACGAGTCCAGGTATGGCTGTGGCTTCAGGGATGTGTTTCATCTCACGTTAATGACCAAGCATACGCAGAAACTTTTCTGACATGTGACACATATAGCACCTTAATCCAAGTCTCATGCTAACATTTTCAGTACAAAGGGCATTTATTTCTTATTGCTGATAAAACACCCATCATTTTGCATTGCATTGTGTATGGACCTCAACATGTGGATATAATTGCATGGTTAGTTTGAAATCCCCTGAGTCCTGCTTTTAACTTGATGAAGGCCCAGGTGTCCAGAAGCCTGTCCCCTGTCTATAACTCAACTAGTGAATAACAGATACGACATTGCGCTAACCGTTGTCAAAACAACAGTCGTTGTTTAATGTGCCACCACTTGCTCTGTCTTTATGACTTACTCTTATGTCTTTATTACAGCTGGTAAAAGGTTATGCCCCTAGAAATGCTGTAATAATTTTAATGTAGAAGAGAGAGAGAAAAGTATTAATGTTTCATTAACAACAAGCAACAGTGCTTTGGAGCAGATCTTGTTACTAAAATACGATTGAATATTCTTATGAAATAAAAGATAATAATGACTTGTTGTACTACAGTTAAATTAAAGTCACTAGAATTGATGATGATTCAGGGTGTATATTAATAGTTACAGATAAAAATATTTGATAAAGTCAGACCCACAGTTTATGATTTGATCCAGCTCTCTCACAAATGTCTGTTGGACTCATATATTTAAAACCGGCATAAAGATAGTAATTCAAATATATTCCCTCTATCTCATGAACCACACAGAAGCCGCGATGACAGGAGGCGAGATGAGCGCAAGCGCCGTGACTTCGACAGGCACTTGAAAAGCGTCAGCGACTCCCACCGTGAATGGGAGCGCCACGAGCGTCGCAGGGGCAGCCCCCGCGGGAGGAGCTACAGCCGGAGCCGCAGCCGGAGCAGGAGTGGCAGCCGAGGAAAGAGCAGGGACAGGGAGCACAGAGGAGGCAGAGGTTAGAAAGTCCCCCCACCCCAACCACACACACACACACACACACACACACAAGCAATAACACCAGCCACAGGGGACTGGAGCCAGGAGTGCAGAAGTTCCTGGAGCTCCTGTCAGTGCAGTCGAACAGTGCATTAGCGATGCATAAGTGCTGCTGGAGACGCCGTGATTGTGATGTGCACAGAGGTGCTTGAGATTCTAAAGAAGAGACTTAGAAGAAGTATTATTTTCTGTTGGATTGTTGTTCAGTATTGCTGGGAGTTGTTACCGATAAGGAATAATGTGGACAGCTTTGCAGTCACATCAGTGGGGATTCAACAACACAGGCTGGAATTGGGCATTTTACCCGCAAGGTTAATCTATGTCTCTAAGTGTTTTTCAGGATGAGAGAAGTATCTGTTTTTAAACTTTACAATTCTGCTATGGTCCACTACTCGAGTGCAATGCTTATTTGTGCTGAAATACCTCTATCTGTGCTTGTCTGTAACAGACTTCAAGTCAAAGTTTGAGTTGGAAAGGAAGGACACGGACTGCTACAACTCTTCCACCACATCTGGCTCCCAGCAGCAGCAGCAGCAGCAGCAGCAGCAGCACCCACCGCCTCTCCTGCCCCTTCCCACACCTCCGCACCCCTTTTCTTCTTCATCGTCTGCTGGAGTCTCAGGAGCTGGAGGCGTTCCCATAGCAACAGCGGCTCACCTGCCTGATAGCACTACAGACAGCTGGTCTGGCTACTATGGCACCCAGAGGCAAGATGGCGTCGCCAAGCCGTTCATCAACAAGGTTGCTTCACTGAAGCAGCGTTGCAGGGATTACGACGGTAGGAGCTGAACAAAATCATTTTTCCCTCCTTTCCTTTGATTCCTGCTTTCTCTCAGTAGTTGTTGTTGGGGTTTTTTTTGTTTTTCTGAAACAATTCTTCCTCCATCTCAGAGCCTATCAATTGTTGAGCCTTTGTATCCTGGCACACGGTCATTGTAAAGTTTGCTCTGTCTCTACTCTACCATTACCTTCCCATGAGGGTTACTGATTGCCTTGTTTAGTCTCCTCACTAATCACTACTGTTTAGCACTCCCTCTCTTCTTCAGAGACACACGAGACATACACAGACACGTACTTACTCCCTGTCCCTGAAGCACACTGCAGCACGCTGCTATCTGTCACAGTGCTCAAACATAGCCACGAGGGACCCAGTTCCTTAATGAGACTGGGGGGTAAATACATGTACTGTATGTTTTAGCTGCTTTGAACTTCCCCTTGAACAATCTTTCATCCTGTTTTATTTATTCTCATTGCGCTTTCAGTTCTTTTCCTTTTTAGTCCTATATCAGTGAATGATATCTTTTTTTTATTTTTTATTTTTTTACACCCTCACGCAGAAAAAGGATTTTGCGTCCGTGGTGACCTTTGCCCGTTCGACCATGGCAACGACCCTCTCATCGTTGATGATGTCAATCTACCGAACATGATCCCGTTCCCGCCCCCGCCCGTTATGCCCCCTGTCGGCCTGCCCATGCCCCCAATCACTGAGCCACCACCTCCCCTAAGGATGCCTTCCATGCCACCCTATGGCCAGCCACCACCACCGGGCGTCTTCCCCATGGCTGGTAAGTAATATTTAATGTGTGTCTGGTGCATAAAGGCCGCTTCTAGAAATAACATTCAATTTGAGTAGTATATTTCCACTGGCATGTGCAATTGTGAAAGCAACTGGTGACCTCTGATTTCCACAAACCACTGCTACTAGTTATTCTCCTCTTAAGCACTTGTTTGCACCACAAGACACATTTTTCCTCTTTCTCTGGTAATTTGCTCTATTTAATTTATTCAATTTCTCAAAGTAGATATATTTAGTTATAAATGCAAAAGTACATTTCCTGTCACTTAATAGTAATCGCTAAGTGATTCCTATTTTTAAACCTTCCATTATCAGTTAAGTCAAACATTGTGATTATATGTTGTGTACTATGTTTTAACTGCTGTGAGGGTTACACAGTTCAAGTCTTTTCTTCGAGTGTAGCTTCTGTCTCTATAGCTGATTCAGAGTCCTCTGACAGCCACTTTCTATATACAGGGGTAATTTCACTACCTCAGTTGTTTTTGTCACCGTTATTTCTTTCTTTCTTGTATGTAGCCATTTTTATACTAGAAACGAAGCTTTGCTCTATACAGCATTCATCAGCATAATTTGTAGAGACTACATCATGTGTAAAAAGGCTGAGGCTGTTCGTCTTTTTACAGAGCAATATACAATCAAACCTCTTGATTATCACTGTTTTGTGCAATTTGAAACATGCTCACTAAGCATGATGAAGAGGAAAAAGCAGGTAAATTTAGTGCACGGCAGAAAAACTGTATGGAGTGAAATAGTGGTGTTAACCATAGAACATTTGTTTTTCAATGTATTTCTCAGAGATGGACAGTGTAAGCATCTGTGTTTTGAGGTTGGTTGATGTCTGGGACGTCCACATACACAGGAAATGGGGAAAAAGAACAGATTATATTTTCCTTGGTTCTCTTTTGTGTATCTTATATTTGAACGAGGGATTACCAGTGATGGCTTCAGTGAAAATTCCTAAATTCTGTATTTACATACTGATAATACTAATTGATGGAACATTTTTAAGAGACCCTTGGTTTGTTCTTGCCGCATGAACACGAGTTAATGAGCAAACCGATATTTTGCTCCAGTAAACTGGAAACCTGATGATGATTGAAAGACTGCAGTTTATTTGTGGCTTCTTCTGCCCATAACTTTTATTATCCTGGTTCTTGAAATTAAGTTCCTACTATAGGTTTCTCTTTTATGATTTGCTCTAATTCAGATGCAACATATAAAGTTGAAGCATTGCATTGCAACAGTTGTTATCATTTCCTGCCATCTTCACTGTCATATTAAAGCAACCTGTGTGGCATTTTAGTCATTCAGACCACAGACTCACTGTCATACATGCAATATACCTGAGACATTAGCTTGGGCTTGTGTCTCCCTCAGGACCCCCACTCATAGCCACCAGTGGGATTGATACCCCCAACCACCAATCGGCAATCACTTCTTCTCCTCCTATCGGACCGCCCGGTGTGGGGCTGCCACCTACTCTTCTTCCTCCTCCTCCTCCTCCACCTCCTCCCTCCTCGTCTTCATCTGTGTCTCTTCGTCCCCAATATGTCCAGTCTGAATGTAAGCAGCGATGCTTTTCCTATTCAGATTGGGACTGTGTGTCTAGAAGTGACGTTGCTGCTGTTCTTAATTAGATTTTTCCTTTTATTGAGAATTTAATGCTCAGAGTTTTCTTGTTAAGTTGAACTAGAATGAAGAAGCTAGTGAGAGTAAAGTTGCTTTTTTTTTGTGGACTTTTAAGTACCCTTTGTTTCTGTCATTTTAAATTGGTACGTGTGTGACATGCACATGTATTTCTCCAGGCTGCAGTAACATCTGTTGACCAGAGGGTGACACTGTTTAATCTAATCTAGGAGACAAAGTAGCTATGAGCAGTAACTCTGCTACATCTTGTTGTGTTGAGTGCTTTTCCCATGATTCAGCTCATGAATTATTCTAGTTATACTGAAAAGCTAAGCCTTAGTTCAAATGGAGTGGGTCTATTTTGAGTTAATTATATCTCAGGTTTTTGACCTTAATTCAGGTCAGATAGGCAAAACCACAACAGTCATGAAAGGTCCCATTTTGTCAGTAAACTGTGGCTGTCTTCTAGCATTCATCTACTTTGTCATCTTGTGATTTTTTTTTTTTGTGTGTGTTAGTTTAGTTGTACTTAATTTTACTTCTCTATTACTTCTCAGAGCTGTGTACTAGATAAGTCACTGAATGCCAAGCAGCACTTAGTTATTTATGAAGGACTGCTTGGTTTCATTGTGTAATTTTGTTTTATCTACTGTTTATTTTTTTGTATTTAGGTTAGTTTTTAACATTTTTATGACTGTGTGTGTGTGTGTGTGTGTGTGTGTTTGTGTTTATTTTTACCCATTAGATAACTATGATCCAGAAGGCTATAACCCAGAATCCCCAGGCCTGACTGCAGCAGGCCGTAACCCGTACCGTCAGTTCATTCCCCGGGTGCAGACCCAGCGCTCCAACCTTATTGGCCTCACCTCCAGCGAAGGACAAGGCTCCAGAGGTAGCAAGTATTGGCCTTCTTAGTACTCACACTCTGTGCCAAATTAATCCTGGTCAATGGGCACTGCTGGAGTGATGTCATTTGACTGAAAATTATGAATGCTTGTATAATTAAAAGCAGAATATTAATGCAAACCCTAATTTCTCACAGACTGATATGTGGCGATATGCAAAAATTCCTAGTGTTTATTAATGTTTCTCTTTGTTTTTGTCTGTGTGTGCGTCTTCCAGCTGCCAACATAGTGATCCAGACAGAGCCTGCCACTGCAGCCAGCACACCTGGAAGTAACATGTCCCGTTTCAACACAGAGCAGGACAACAGGAAGAGAACCATGGGACCCAGTACAGCTGAGGGACCGGCAGCTAAAAAACCTTGGATGGAGAAGTAAGGATTCAAAGACAGGCACATTTGAAAAGTGTCAACCACACATACGATTTTGAAATTTACTATTAGGAACATTTTTAAGCTTGGATTGCATATAATCAGGGTCATGTGCAAGGATCCCATCACTCAAACCCACATAGATAAAATTGTACTTTCCCAACAAAAGATGATGTGTCCTTGCTTGACATGGCAATAAAGCACTGCAAGTGGACATCCACTTGACAAATATCTTCACGGCAAAAACCAGGCTTAAAAACATTTTTTTCACATACAGGAGCAGTAACTGATTATTTTATTTGAGCTTTGAAATATGCACCACTGCCTTTGGTCCTCTGGATATGTTATCAATGACTTAATGGCATCGAGACCTCGGTGATCATAGACACTGTATGCCTTCACTAAACAGGTCCTTGTTTTGTGAAGACATTTGAAGTAAGTAAGTAGCTGGCCAGGTGAAATTTGATCAAACAAATTGTTGCCTCCCCCTATTTCCCGTTACTGCTAAGGGAGCCTTTTTTCAAGCCAAGGTGAGTCATCGGTCAGGAGCCTATCTTTTGTCCCAGTTGTAGGAAGCAGGTGCATACAGACATCCACATGCTTCCACATGCAAAGGCTTTACTTGTAATCCATCATGAGTGTCAAGCAGGTTGAAATGTGGTCTTTATTTTCAAGTACAGCTGTTATATGGATTATAGGGATTTCAGTTTGAAGGCAGAAACATAAACTTCAGGTCATCAGTCTGGATTCCATTTCATTACCCATCATTTTGCCCAAAATGTCGATTTAGCATGTCTGTCCATTCATTTCTCTTTTTAAAACAAATTATGTGGTAAGCTTAAGATGCCAACATCACTGTCTTCCTCTCATTTTAGGCCAGGCTTTAACAACCAACATAAGAGCAGTTTTCCCAAGAGGTATCACTATGTGAACACCAAGTTGGAGGTGCGCAAGATCCCACGTGAGCTCAACAACATCACAAAGCTCAATGAGCACTTCAGCAAGTTTGGAACCATCGTCAATATCCAGGTAAAATGCATAAAGTGCTGCTGTCCACTAAGCAAACATGTAAAGGGCTACCATTTTCATTGCTAAAGGGATCATTTTGACAAGAGCAGGCAAGACTAGAAGTAGTATAAGTATTGTATCTGTGAGAATCTGAGAACTTTGATTTGCCAATGAAGACATGCAGTAGAGGATTCATACGAGTTGCAGGGGGAAATGTAATGGGACGTCACATTCACATTTATGGCTCACATAGGCCTTTACAGTCTCTTGACTTAAAAATGACTAGCAGGCCTATGATCCAGGTAGAATGTCACAGAGTACATTAAGTCTTCTGCAGATCACACGGTTGGTGGTAGGATTGGACGATATGGCCAAAAATGGTAACACAATAAAAAAAAAAGTCATATCAGTCGATCAATAATTATCAAGATAAATGTCAAATCATTATTCTTTCAAATTTAAAGGATGCTTTTTGCTCTTGAGTAACAGTTGAAGAAACCAGAGAGGTAATTGTAGTTTTAAACTATTCTTTATGGTCAGAACTAGGGTTGTGTATCGATACGATACCAGTATCAAAACCAGTACCCTTAAAGTGATACCGATACCAATAGAGTACTTCATTCAATACCTTGAGTAAAATGACACCTGTTTAAGCCATTGTAGTTGATTGGTAGCCTATTATTATTTTTATTGTTAGGGACAAGCAAGGTTATCTATTAGTTTTTTTGTTTGTTTGTTTTGTTTTTTTTTTCCTTCTTTTAAATAACTGTTACATCAAAGCATTGGGAAATTGTATCAGATCAGTCCTCATCCTAATTAGGTCATCTTCAGGGATAGTATTATATGGGGAAAGACTACAGCTTTTTTTTATATTGAATGAAAGAGGAGGAGTGAAATAGTCTAGTGACCAAATAAGTTGTGGGAAACGAATTTAAGGTAATTTTTGATACGTTTGTTGAAAGTAAACAATAGAAAATTTTCTTGTTCAAGCCCCCCACCAGCCAGTTTTAACTGCCGTTTTTGGTTAACGTTCTTTCTCAAAAAGAGAATGGGGTGTGGTTAATAGTCGGACGTAATACATTACCATGACAACCAAATACTGACCGGCTGGAGTGTTCACTAACCATATGCTGTGTTAACATCACTACACTGTAAAGTTTAGTACACTTTACTGTCTGGCAGGAGTAGCTATTATTTACCCATGATAGAAACTAATGTGCGTATCAGCTGTTATCAATCATACAGTCGATGGTCCTGTCACGCACTGCACATGATAACTCCCACTATGTGTTATGATGCGCTTATTTAACCGAGGGGGTGTGGTGGGTGCCTCCGCCAATGCATTGGTAAAATGGCAGTATGATGCATGTTGCGACACATTTTCTGTCATCTGTCCTCCAACACCGCATGCACAGATGCCATAATTAAAATGAACAGCACACTAAACCAAGGAAACTAAAAAAATTTAATGAAGACCCTCTGTTAGCTAACTTTCTGCAATTACTATGCTAGCTAACTACAACTTAGCTAACAAGCCAACAATCAGACACAGAGAGACATACCTACTGTAAGTTCTAAGTAAATTACATGATAAATTGGCTAGCTCACAGCGATGTTTACCGGTTTGATGCTCTGACTCTGCAAGACAGTTTTTTAACAAGCCATGCCTTATGGAATTACTATAGTCATACGTCACAACCCCGTTTTAACAACTAAGCAACTTTTGCAGCATTGAGCACAAAATTAAGCTATTTCTCAAAAAATATTTGGCAAACTATGTGGGTAATCAACATTGTAAGGAAATTATTCTATGAAATATCATAGAAATGTCAAAATACACTGAAGGGGGGCTTTTGATCAATATATCGGCAAATACTTTTTCCTTTATTGGTGAGTCGCAAACCTCTAAAAACAACAGTCACAAGTAAAACGAGTAACAAGTCTGTTTAAATTAAGTCACTAAACTACACTAAAGAGTCTAAAGAAGGTCAAACCAACTACATCTGAAGCAGCTGCAGCTGGAGGCTTTGAGTAAAATCAGCTGATCGCTACTGCGCCACAAAAGCGTTTGGTTGATGGGATGAGACGCGGTGACCGATCAGTGACAAGTGATGTGTGTGTATATATGTATGTGTATATACAGTGGGAACGGAAAGTATTCAGACCCCTTTAAATTTTTCACTCTTTGTTTCATTGCAGCCATTTTCCAAAAATCAAAAAAGTTCATTTTATTTCTCAGTAATGTATACTCAGCACCCCATCTTGACAGAAAAAAACAGAAATGTAGAAATTTTTGCAAATTTATTAAAAAAGAAAAACTGAAATATCACATGGTCATAAGTATTCAGACCCTTTGCTCAGTATTTAGTAGAAGCACACTTTTGATCTAATACAGCCATGAGTCGTTTTGGGAAAGATGCAACAAGTTTTTCACATCTGGATTTGGGTATCCTCTGCCATTCCTCCTTGCAGATCCTCTCCAGTTCTGTCAGGTTGGATGGTAAACGTTGGTGGACAGCCATTTTCAGGTCTCTCCAGAGATGCTCAATTGGGTTTAAGTCAGGGCTCTGGCTGGGCCATTCAAGAACAGCCACGGAGTTGTTGTGAAGCCACTCCTTCGTTATTTTAGCGGTGTGCTCAGGGTCATTGTCTTGTTGGAAGGTAAACCTTCGGCCCAGTCTGAGGTCCAGAGCACTCTGGAAAAGGTTTTCGTCCAGGATATCCCTGTACTTGGCCGCATTCATCTTTCCCTCGATTGCAACCAGTCGTCCTGTCCCTGCAGCTGAAAAACACCCCCACAGCATGATGCTGCCACCACCATGCTTCACTGTTGAGTCTGTATTGGACAGGTGATGAGCAGTGCCTGGTTTTCTCCACACATACCGCTTAGAATTAAGGCCAAAAAGTTCTATCTTGGTCTCATCAGACCAGAGGATCTTATTTATCACCATCTTGGAGTCCTTCAGGTGTTTTTTTAGCAAACTCCATGCGGGCTTTCATGTGTCTTGCACTGAGGAGAGGCTTCCGTCGGGCCACTCTGCCATAAAGCCCCGACTGGTGGATTGCTGCAGTGATGGTTGACTTACCACAACTTTCTCCCATCTCCCGACTGCATCTCTGGAGCTCAGCCACAGTGACCTTTGGGTTCTTCTTTACCTCTCTCACCAAGGCTCTTCTCCCCCGATAGCTCAGTTTGGCCGGACGGCCAGCTCTAGGAAGGGTTCTGGTCGTCCCAAACGTCTTCCATTTGAGGATTATGGAGGCCACTGTGCTCTTAGGAACCTTAAGTGCAGCAGAAATTTTTTTGTAACCTTGGCCAGATCTGTGCCTTGCCACAATTCTGTCTCTGAGCTCTTCAGGCAGTTCCTTTGACCTCATGATTCTCATTTGCTCTGACATGCACTGTGAGCTGTAAGGTCTTATATAGACAGGTGTGTGGCTTTCCTAATCAAGTCCAATCAGTATAATCAAACACAGCTGGACTCAAATGAAGGTGTAGAACCATCTCAAGGATGATCAGAAGAAATAGACAGCACCTGAGTTAAATATGAGTGTCACGGCAAAGGGTCTGAATACTTATGACCATGTGATATTTCAGTTTTTCTTTTTTAATAAATTTGCAAAAATTTCTACATTTCTGTTTTTTTCTGTCAAGATGGGGTGCTGAGTGTACATTACTGAGAAATAAAATGAACTTTTTAGATTTTTGGAAAATGGCTGCAATGAAACAAAGAGTGAAAAATTTAAAGGGGTCTGAATACTTTCCGTACCCACTGTGTATATATATATGTGTGTGTGTGTGTGTGTATATATGTGTGTATATATATAATTATAGCTAGCAAATAAAAAATGTACAGAGAAGTGTTAAATGATACCAGAAGATGAAATCAACGGAAAGCCAAGCTTGTGGTGATAAACTTGCAACAGTGACGAACCTGCCCGAGAACTCAACCAAAGGTGAGCGGCTGTTAAAATCATGCATGGACTCGGTGCGTGCAGGTCTTTTTTTATACAGTTTATGGTGCAGACACATGGGGGGTGGGGAAGCGTGCTCTTCTTGTGTTGCTTGCATGTTTGACTGCAAGCAAAACCATTCAAATAGTAATTTTTTGCCGCGATCTGGTTACAAAAAGTATCGAATGAAGTACTGGTTTGACTGGAGACGTTTTGATTCTACTCGATATTGGGCTGTTTCGGTCGATACCATTAAGGTATCAAGTAGCGATACCCATCCCTAGTCAGAACATGATGAAACACTTGATACCAAACAGTGGATCATTCCACCAGTCTGAGGTAGAACATTCAAAACAAGTATAATGATAAAATATGTATGAGTTAAATTAAGTAAAATCTTTTTACAGTCCTTTTTTACCTCCAAAAACAAACTTAATAGAAAAATTAAGTGCTAATTTGTTGGTGGTTGAAATTAATTATTGAACATTTGTTATCTTTTTATTGCCCAGCCCTAGTTGGCGGTTCAGTTACTACCTCCTCCTGTCTAGATGTCAAAGTGTCACTGGACAAGACGTTGAATTCCATGTTGCTCCCGACTGTTGTGCAGCACCCTGCGTCGTAGCTTGCTGCCAGTGGTGTTTGCGTGAATGGATGATTGCGCTGTATAAATGTAGCCATTTACCATTTACGTAACCTGCATGGTCTCAATTCAGGTGGTGTTTGGCGGAGACCCAGAGGCAGCGTTGATCCAGTACACAAAGAATGAAGAGGCCAGGCGGGCCATATCCAGCACAGAGGCGGTCCTCAACAACCGCTTCATCCGTGTGTACTGGCACCGTGAGCCGGGCGCCAACGCCACAGGGCTTCAGCAGCAGGAGCAGAGCTCAGGGAGCCTGGCAGCCGGGTCAGCACCCGGCCAGGCGCCACAGCACGGCAACATGCATAAGGTTTGTGTAAACAACTGAAACATTTAGAAGTCCTTCCACATTCCTCAAAGCCCTGTCTTGTTTGTGAAAACCTTCATCGTATTTACTTTTTTCTCCCTTTTCTTTTATCAGCAGGGCATCAAGCAGCACAATCCAGCCGCCTACGTGTTGAACAATACTCAACCGAAGCACCGCCTGCTAGCAGCGGCTGGGACCACAGCTACAACCAAGCCAGACAGCCTGAACCCAAACACTGAAGCCGTCACTGTACGTTTTAGTCTCTTTGCTTGTGTGTGAGTCAGACGATTCCAGACCTGGGTGAAATAATAAATAGCATTTTCAAGTAAATGATGAACAGCCTTGGAAAACCACACTTGTACATATGGTGTCAGGCACTTGTGTCTGTGTGGAAAAGTGGATTCAGATGCTCAAATGACACGGCTCTGTGTGGCTGTACTTGTACACACTGGTGCTTTGAGCTAAACGCCAACGTCAGCATGCTCACAGTGTAAGATGCTGATGTTAAGCAACTATAATATTTAGTTAGTTTAGTTTATTAGCATGCTATCTTTTTCTAAATAGCACTCAACTCAAAGTACAGCTGACGCTAATAGGCATTAGTTAGTATTTGGTCATAAACCAAAGTATCAGATAAATCAAAAATTTGATCTAATGATGGCACTAGATGAAAAGTTAAGGGATCGCCAAAGTTATTACAATTCATCTTCAGGGAAACATGAATATATTTTCCAAATTTCATGGTGATCAATTCAATACCCAAATATGCCGAACTCATGGTGGCGCTAGAGGAAAAGTCAGGATCACCAAAGTCATGATGATTAATCCTTTCAGGACCATGAATGTCTGTACACCATTACATGTTACATGCTGTGTTTCCCTTAGAACTTTCTTCAGCAGCGGTGCAGTTGCCTCCATGAGCATGCAACGCCTGCCTGTAGTCGCACGCATGAGAATAGCTTAAAGTGTCCCTAGTTTTATGTAAGCCAAAAGCCTAGCCTAACTTAGGTGCACACATTTTGTGGGGTGCACACACGTCTGGCTGCAAGCAAAACCATACAAATAGTATATTAGCATATAATACTAGTATATTAGAAAAACAAGCTAATCGAGATAAAACAATTATTGTGCCGCATGCTGTTTTGCAATGATACTCGTTTTGTCTTGTTATAAATCCAGTGCACCCTTTCCTTTACAGCGGCACTCCCTGCCCCTCCCTTAAAGCCCAAACACCTTTTGCTGGCTGTTGCATGTTTAGTTCAGCTCAAGTCAACATGAGGGGATTATAACTTTTACAACTTGCTAGTCACCATTATTAGCTTAAGCCTAAAGCATTTTACACTGCAGAAATTATCCTAGCAGCTAGCTGACTTTTCCTCTGCTCAAACTGTTGGTTTAAGTAACTGTATCTCCCGACAGAATACAACAGTTGAAATTCAGCATTATGTAACGTAACCAGTTGTCGTCAACTCGAGTACACCGGACACCTGCTCTGCTCCGCTCCACACACACACACACACACACACACACACACACACACACACACACACACACACCCTCTGTGGTGGCCCATCTGCCTTACGAAGCAGTCAACACTGCCTTGCTGTCTTCCTCTTGGGCTCTAGATGCTGTTTAAAGTTAATAATACTGTAAGGAAACTACAGAATTTATTAACTGACACTGACTGTAACCTACATTGTAAATTTAATGCCAGCCTGACAACTTACTGCTAACCTTTTCCTCTGCTCGCGCTCTCAAACAAACACTCACTGTGTGTACACATTACATACCTGACATGTGCAGCGTAAGGTAACCATGTTTCTTAAAGGAGCTACACAACTCTTATAACGGTACCTTTCACATAAATGTCTATTTGAAGAATGAGGAGAGAGAGGAAGCCAACCGTTGAGCATTACCGTGCTTGCACAGTGCGTGTGAAAATCATTAGCCCATTGATATTAATGATAGTGTGAACTTTTGTTGTAGCACACATAATCAGCAATGTTCCACCACTGATGTTATTATATTTCTTTTGATAGAATACTATCTGGACTGTCAGTGTATCCATGCATTTGGAGAGTCTCTAGACTGAACAGTGTGTGTGGAATATTCATAACAAACCAATATCAGGATCGCCACACTGAGCCCTGCATTGTGGGCTGTTGCAAATGGGCGAACACTACCACCATGAAACTAGTCTCCTCAGAAACATCTACCCATCCAGTCTCAAACAGCTTAAGAGGATATACAAGAAAGAATAGGATAAACCTGTGTAATAGGAACACTGGAGAATAAATAATCAATTGATGATAATATATAATCATTTCATGCATCCTGAGATGTTACATTTATGAGCTGTTGACACTTCTTGATTGAGCTGTTTCTACGCTCATTCTGACTACCTAAATTTGTTGCTTTCCCTGTTTGTTGTACTTAGGTGGTGCCTGCACTGACAAACACCCAGAAGGGCTCTTACTCTTCCACAGCCCTCAAGTCATCCTCAAAGAGCCTTGGGAAAACGGGAAAAGCACTAGAAGCACAGGAAGTCCTCAAGAAGAAACAGGCATGTTGCTTAATTTTTTTTTATGCATATTTTGACTGGTACGAGAATAGCAGAGCTGGGATTAACCATTTGTGTCTCTCAGGGGCCACAAGTGCGAAGCAGGCTACCATTGAGAAATGACCACGACAACATAATAGTGTATTTTCCACCTCCAGTGAAGGCATTTCATTTATTGTATGCATTTTTTTTTAAATTTAGGAGGCATTAAAACTCCAGCAGGACATGAGAAAGAAGAAGCAAGAGATGTTAAAGACACAGATTGAGTGTCAGAAGGTAAGACTGGCCTCTACACCCCTTCCCTGTCTTTAGTCTCATCTCTACACTCCCTGTCTTTTACACCTTCTTCTCTCTCACTGCTTGCATTTCCTCTTTCAGGCCTTGATAAACCGCCTGGAGAAGAACCGAGGGATGAAACCTGAGGAGAGAGCCAACATCATGAAGACCCTGAAGGAGCTGACGGAGAAGATCGCACAGCTGCAGAACGAAATGCACCCTGCTTCCCAGGTCTCCAGCGCCAAACCCAACCACAGCCAGCACAAGACAAAGACTGATGTAAGGCCCTTTTGGCCGGGAGAGTGATGGAGTGCATCATCTCCTTTACATAGACACAGTCAGTCAGTGCTTCCCTCCATTTGCACAATAGATACTGTTGCATTGTAAACTGTGTGCAGATTTTAACACCTTACAGCTCATGATTAATTATTTTTTTTCATTAATTGACCCTGTTAGACAGAGTGCACACACAAGTTTTGTGCAGATTTTAACACCTTACCAGTTCATGACTGAATTTTTGTAAAAGAATTTTCAATAATTGACCCTGTTAGACAGAGGTTGCACAAAAGTTCCGTGCACTGTGGGTCCGTTTATTCATTTGTCAGTCAAAATGTCAGTTCTTGTGTTATAGAACAAAATGTTTTCTCAATAAAAAAAAATGTATCTTACATGATATGTGACCAGGCCCAGAAGGAATTGCTGGATGCTGAGCTGGACTTCCACAAGAAAATGAGCTCTGGAGAGGATACAACAGACCTCAAGAGAAAACTGGGACAGCTACAAGTTGAGGTAATACGCTACAGACACACACAAACACACGTTTGTTCTTCTATCCCCATGGGGACATCTCATTGACATAATGCATTCCCTAGCCTCTTACCCTACTCCTAACTTAAGTGTAACCTAAACCCTAAAACCAAGTCTTGACCCTCCAAAAAGCAGTCTCTACACAAGAGGACCTCAATTTTTGTCCCCATTGGTTAGTGTGCATTCAGGTTAAAAACATGAAACATGCATATCCACCCATAGTACATAACCATGGACCAACAATCTAAAAAGATAGCGACCACGGCTGCAAACAGGTCTGCAAAGACACACCACATGTAAAAAAAAAAAAAAAAAAAAAACACAGATACAACATCATGCATCATCAGCATTTTTTTCTTGAGGGCTGAATTTGAGGATGTGATACCAAGAAGTGCCTTAGAGGAAGTCAGCAGATAAGATAGTCGACGGATATGTCGCACTGCCTGAAGTTACGTGCACATGCAAATCATTTTTACAGATCCTGGATTGAAAGCACAACTGCAAAGGGAGCACACAAACAGTATTTGAGCCCTGTGTATGTGGCTAGTGAAAAGAATAAAGCAATTTTGATCTCAAGAGGGTAATAAATAATACAATTAAAATCAGTGTTCACTTTTTTTTAAATTTTATTTCTACAATCAATTGTATGTTATAACTATAGGAGATAAGGTGTTAGGAGCGAGTGTGAACAAGGAGTCCCACCCATGTCTGGGTCAGAAAGAAATTGTGATATGTGATTGTGAAATATAGAATCTTTACCTGAAGAATGTTACTGCTGTAAGCACTGATGCTAATTGGCATGTCAGTGGATGCTTATCTAATCACACAAAAACTCACTGACACGAATATAATTGTTAAATTATAGATTCAGTGGGAGGGAACTGGTGTTTTAAAACTCTTCAGTATTAGACTGTAATGTAACTCAACTGTACAGTAGGGCTGAACGATAAGCAAAATCATATTGCAATAAGAGTCACAGTTGTAGGTGGAATAGTAATTTTTGTATTTCATTTACACTGAAAAAGTATATGTAATTTATTATATATTTGCTGGGGGTATGTACCAAACAAGCATGTTCCCATTACATCTGGAGAATATGATTTGTAGGCCGTGGCGTCTCTGTAGCACCATCATGCTTCATTTATAATGGTGTGTTGTGACACATTTAACAGACATCAAATAATTGCAGCTCCTGCGATTTGGATATTGGTCTTGGTCATATTGCGATTTTGATGTTTCGATTAATTGTTCAGTCCTACTGTACAGGTCATCATACAGTAGTAGTACTGAGCATTTAGAGATTTGAAACGAGTTTGTACTGTGTAGAAGTGCTGTGGTATAAATGCTATGTATAAAGGCTTAGGGGGTAGAGTGGGTTGCCCGTTAATCAGAAGGTCGGCGGTTCAATCTCCGGCTCCTCCCGGCTGCATGTTGAAGTGTCCCCGAAGAGAACCCCAAATTGCTCCTGGTGGCTGTTCCACCAGTGTGTGAATATGTGTGAAAGGTGAATGCGATGTAGTGTAAAAGCGCTTTGAGTGGTCGAAAAGACTAGAAAGGCGCTATACAGATACGGAGCATTTATATTTACATTTATATCAGTAGACTTTAATGCATTATATAACTAATAACTGTATATTTTATTAATGAGTTAGTCAGTGTGGCTGCAACTAATGATTATTTTCATATTCGACTAATCACGATTATTTTTGTCACCCCCTAACCCTAATTAACTGATCTCCAACACACAGCCTAACTAGCTAACGTTACCATTAAGTGAACGAGGTTTACTATTCAGAATGAACACTAGTATCAACGCCAGGGGGAAACCAGGGAAGAAGACAGGATAGGCTCCCCTATAATTCACAGATTTACTATTGCGCTTAACGTGTTTGCTAAGACAACTAATACAGCGTTCTTTTAGCCAGCATCATCCATGAGACCTCAAAACCAAGAATGCAAAGAACTATGGAGAGGCTGCTCCAGGATAACAGGCTTTATCAATCTCTGTATGATTGAATGTAATTAAGATGAGCTTGAACTTCAACATTAGTGGGTTTTTAGTTTGAAAAACTAGGACAATATTATATAGCTGCAGCTATGTTCGGGTAATTTCATTCAGCCTCTCTTCACTGTTTCAACCTGACCTTTTATTTTCTTTATGAGATACAAGAATTTAGTAAGTTGCGCTGCACTGCGGAGAGCCTCCAGCTGCAGTAACACGTGGATTATGCATAAAATCAAGAGCTCATACTTCATCCAGCCAGAGGGAACCCTGACCGTCCAGTGCGGCGGTTCCACAGCAACACAACCCATACTAGAGTTAACTAGGGAGGGGGAGCGGGGCGCTGGAGCGTACTGGGCGAGGGATAGGAGGTCGCACCCTGGCCGTAGCCTCAAAAAAAACCTTGATTGGGTATTTTCAGATCAGCCCAAAACCAACCCAGGAAGCATAGGAACTGAGAAGTGGTCTGTGGTCACCACCTGCAGAACCACTCCTTTATTGGGGGTGTCTTGCTAATTGCCTATAATTTCCACCTGTTGTCTATTCCATTTGCACAACAGTATGTGAAATTGATTGTCAATCAGTGTTGCTTCCTAAGTGGACAGTTTGATTTCACAGGAGTGTGATTGACTTGGAGTTACATTGTGTTGTTTAAGTGTTCCCTTTATTTTTTTGAGCAGTGTACTTTGTCAGGTCTGTCAGCAAGACAGCAGGACGACAACTTTCAAAATACGTGTTTTCTGAATGGAGTTCGGCTTCACTCGCGCTAGCTGCTGACAAGCGCGAGTGAAGCCGCCGGTGACGTTTGGACAATCTCACCGCTGATAGGCTTTCGCAACATCGCGTCAAGCGAATTTCTCGCCCAAGTTGAAAAATTTTAACTCGTGCAAACCAGCGAATTACGCGACAAACACCTCATTCGCGCCGCCCGGAGCGAATTCGAAGGAATTTGCGTCTTTGCATTGACTTTGTGTGTAATCAGGCCGCCCAAAACGCTGGATTCGCTTTTGGTGGGAACGCACCTTTACAGCTCATAGCGTGAGTAACACGGCTTTAATGGGAAGCTAGCTCGCTAACTAGCTTACTGAGACGAGTCTTCATCATCCACAGAGCAACAACGTTACGCGCCTCATCTTCAGATGTTCCGGTGTTTCCAGGAAAGCTCAACTTTGCAGAGCTGCAGTTAACCTTTTCGGCTGACCGAAGAGTGAAGTGCTGCCACACTCAGGAGGTTTAAGTGGTGAAGGTGTTACTGCAGGCTGAAGTTGTTTTTATTAACTTTACTGTTCACATCACATTAGTCCGTTAAGCTGACTGTGTCGTTACGGCCCGATGACGTCATGAACGACGTCCATTTTTGTGGACTACGTTGATTAGTTGTTGTACCCCTATAATACTGTGAGAGTTATAACTTTATGGGATTGGAAAAGGGAACACAAGGTTTTTTTCGAATCGGTAGAGCGACTCGATAGACTCTGCTGTCGATTTGCGCTACGGTAGCATTTTTCGACAAGGCAGCATATATTGTCGGAACACCGGCTGGCACCGCTAACCTTGCGGGCGCTTGTGGAGCTTCTAAATAAAACGCCTTGTACAGACTCCCGATCATATATCAACAATAAACACAGTTAAAACAGACCAAAAAAGAAACAATATAACTGTAGCTTTCTTAAGTGCACTTCTGAGTCAAATCAACGGCGTAGGTGACGGTGTAGGCTACACATAGGCTACGCGCCTGACGTGCACCTCCTCCAAAATGTAACTACACGTCAAGTCGACGCGGACCCTAAGCTATGTGATTGGTTGGCTGGGTAGCCTCGCAATGCTTCCGAGCCGACCAGATGTACCCCGCGCTTTGAAGTAACATTTACAAGCGGCCAAAACGGCAGCTGTAAGACAGTGAATCAATATATTTGGCTGTCGCAATCTGAGCGAAATGAACGTTTCGCTATCAGAATGTGATCCATTCAGTCGGTAACATTTGAAAAGGCTACACCAGCCGCACGTATACAATTTTACCCCCATTTACATTAGCGGAGCGCTAAACCGGAAGTTAACCTGCTCGGCCTGCAAAAGTCAACACAGTGGACGCTGTAGCGCTACTGCAGACTAGCGTTTGGGGGTGTAATTACAGAATGACGGACACACCTACGCACAAGTATAAATGCATGGCGTAGACCCTACGCTGGAGTATAAATGGGCCTTTAACCACGGTAGAAGCACAAAAATCAAACAGATTACCAAATCAACAAAATCTAAACATGTCAGCAAAGTCGGGCAGACAAAACGCTCTGATTCTGAAATGCTCCTCGTGGGAAATGCAGCCTGAAGTTGACGGAACAAAATGCGGTCACATAGAGTTGTGAAGAAGGTAGTAGAAGCACATAAAGGACAAATTAATAACAAGTAAACATGGGGCAGGCTGCATACTCTGCTGCTGAAAAGCTTCTGAGATGCTTCCAGTGGACTTTGACGCTGTGCAGTGGACGCATCAAAACCGTGGCGCAGCCGTAACGTGCTGTAGCCGGAGTCAGTGGATTCCCGGCGTTAGTCAAGCAGTCATGGCAGACAGTGGAAGTGATACTGCCCCCGGCAGTACATGATGTGCATTGCAGTTAGAAATGAACAACCAGAAGTGGTCTTAATAAGAAGATTGCTATCTCTCCCTTAAACGGCATCTTTGTAACGACGCGTCGACAATGAAATTTCACATCGATGAATTTTTATAATCGGCGTCGTCAGTTACGTCAACTAATTGTTGTAGCCCTAGTGTGTAATACTGAGCATTTGAAAGATGCCTATAAAAATCATGCTTTCAGGGATATCTCATTAAACATGCGTATTATATTAAAGTGCAGGTATCAATGTGATTGGTACGCAAGTTACAAATGAGCAAAAAGAAGAAGAAAATGGAGGAGGAGGATTATGCAAGGCAATATACCAAAACACCACTTTTCTGAATTTAGGTTTACAGTGTTGTTTGTATCAACCCAGATATTATGATATATGTAAAGAATTAGGTTTTTTTTTCCCACATGAGAAGGTTGCCCTGCACTTGGCTGCCTCCACTGCTGTTAGTCAGTTTGGACTTGGGCTGCTTCTCCTGCCCGCTCTAACCTAGCAACTAGGGGTGGGAATCACCAGAGGCCCCACGATACGATATTATCACCATACTTACAGTATGTCACGATACGGTATTATTGCGATTTTTAAAATATTGTGATATATTGCAATTTATAACCTTTTTTCCAACTTTAAATTGTGTCCCCAAAGGAAAACTCTTTTTCTATTGGACTGAAAAAGCAACTTATTTTATTATTATAGTACCAAAAATGCGATTCTATGCTGTGTTTTTTTGTTTTGTTTTTTCCCCACCCCTACTAGCAGCGCACACAAACACAGAAAAGGTCAACTGGGTCATAAGATCAGCCTTACAAGAACATGGCTTTTGTTAGCAACACCCTGCCTTGCATGTTTTTTCCCCCTCTACCCCTGTGGGTCCTAAATTAGCTAGCTGTTAAAAATGCATATCCCCCCCACCCCTAAACCATCCAAACCCAACACTCCTTCTGCACATTAAGCTTTAGCCACTTAAGCAAGCCCAGAGGAACGGCCACTAACGAAGCCAAATCAGACACAGGTCCTACACTGATGGAGCTCCCATCTCATTAAAGTTTGAGCCGCTGTTCCTTGTAAGAAAATCGCGGGATGACAATTAGAGGGAGAAGTGAGGGAGGGAAAAATGGAAGAGAGTGGTTGTGAGGCTGTGGAGTGGTTAGAAAGCAAGTCACTTTTAAAAATGGAGTAGTGCCAGCTAATGGTAAAGGGCAGTGAGTGACAGAGGAGACCAGAGTCGAGCATGTAGAGAATGTTTAAGCGCTACGAAAATATGTAAAACTTTGCCTATGCAGTACGGGTTTTTATTGTGATTTTCTGTTATCTTCTTTATAGTATAAATTAAATTCTGATTATATAGTTGTGCTAGATCATCTGTTTGTTTTGGTAGACACAGGAAAAACATACACTGTAGTTTCCCAGTTTGTTTAGACATTCTAAAGTACAGCAGCGCAGCATCAGGGAGCACAGTCTGTTTTAAGTTTTACACATCTGTTCCTAATGATTTTTTTAACACAGCCAGGTGGCGCCCATATATTCTTGCCTGTGTGTATTTGGGGGACAGAAAAAACAGCAGCCAGTCAGTTGTTTTTGTAACATTTAACCTCACAATCTGACCTCCTTTAGGCGACGCGGTTAGGTCTGATCCGTCCTCAAGCGGGTCGAGGTCGGGGCCGAGGGAAGATGGCGCTGGAGCTCGGTTCGATGCATGTGGGCCGCGGCAGGGGCCGAAGCCGCATGGTGGTTGACCACAGACCCAGAGCACTGGCTATTTTGGGGGTCACTCAGGAGGAGAAGGAAGAGCTAATGCCGCACTTTGTGGTGAGGACTGTTCCCTTTTTGTTTTATTTAAAGATTCAGTAGTTAGACTGAGAATTGAATTGGTTATTGGACAATTGCACTGAAATTCATCGTTTCTTGTGTTTTTTTTGTTTGTTTTTTTAATCACAGAAATTTGGTGAGATCGAGGACGTCCGTGACCAAGATGCCAACAGTGTTGTCATGACCTTTAAGACACGAAATGAGGCAGAGAATGTAAGTCGCATGACTCTAAATGACACCAGTCTGTCTCTGCCTTATTCTTGGTCTCGGTCTATCTTCTGTCCTCATGTTTTGGGGGGTTTTTTGTTTTTGTTTTACTAGTACAAAATCAGCAAAAGCTGTAAGTGCAACACTTGTCCTGTTTTTTGTTTTCTAGGCAGCTAATCAGGGAGCTAAGTTCAAAGGTCGTGTTCTGCAGATTTCCTGGTACAAGCCCAAGACGCCTTCTGTTACAACAGAGCCAGAGGAGGAAGAGGCTAAAGATGAGGACAACACGGTATTACACATTTCGCACAAACCTTAATGTGAAACAAGGTTTCTCATATTATCATCAGGAACATAAAGCCACTCAAAAACTAGGAAAGGCAGTCCACGTATATTACAACTTGACATTCTAAGTGGGGAAACTTCTGTGTTTTAGTTACATTCACGGATTTTACTTGTACATTTGATTCCAGTGCTTCTAAATTTTTCACCACAGATCCCAATAGAGAATCAGGGCAAGCCTCTCAGTACTAAGAGCATCTTATCCCTTTGAGTAAAACTGCATTACTGTCAGGTGAAATCCTGTACATACTGTATTTTCATGTTTTGAGGTTGTGGTCTTCCATGTGTGCAAGTAAGTTTTATGGCCTGAGTGCCGATCCTGTCACTTTAGTATGGTTTGTACCATTTTAAGAAGTCTTTGATAATCATTCTGAAAAACATTGACTCTACAATGAACAACCATTGACTCTAATGCAAAAGGAGTGGTTTTCTAACTTTTTTTTTTTTTTGCCGTATTTTTCCAAGACATGGTCAAATGCCGTTCCTGGGGCACTTGTAATAGTGACAATCACTACCCAGAGAGGTTGAAAGGAGAACTACGATTAATTCCCCTTCCAAAACTTAAAACAAATCCAGAAAAATGTAGGCTGTGGATTGTTTCTAATGAAATGTTAGTTAGCTAACGCTAGTTAACTTACTACTGTAATCATTTAATGTTGCTTTTAAATGATAGTAATAGTGAGACCTACCCAGCTTTACAGGAACAGTGTTGATCCTTAATATCGTTGTTTTTTTTGTCTCTATCATCAGGTAATAGTGGTTCACTTTTACTCTGTGATCGGTAGGCTTTACCTTCTGTCTTTATTTTTTTCAAGTCAGTTTGACAGCCTGAATACAACCTTAAAATGCACAAAGCAACTGCAAAACTGTCTGCATCTTCTCTTCAAGATCGTTTTTCCACAAATTAGACAATAATTCTCTAGGGAGTGCAGTTATAGACAGTGGCAGCGTTTCTCAAGTCTAACCAGCTTATTAATGACCTGTCACACAAACATTTGGAAACCTTCTCACATGTGATGTAGCATTGACGCAATGATCTGTATGAGTACAGCTCCAGTCTTGCTTGCTGTGTAAAGCAAATGGGACATAATCTGTCGCATAATCTCATCATTCTTAAGTGTTCAAAACTAAACATGACATTTTTGGGGTTTTTTCCCCATTCAAATAGAAGGAAGCCAGTTCTTACTTGCCTGGTGAGGAGGAGGAAGAGGAGGAGGAGGAGGATGATGACGAAGATGACGAGTATGAGAGCCGATCTTGGAGGCGATGAAGGCACTGTGATTCGTCATTACCTGCTCTCCAGCAGAATCGGCCGTTCCCCCACCGCCCCACATGCAGATAAAAGACAACGGAACTTTCTCCTTTCCAGTATTTTCAAACAAAGTGATTTTAGACTCTAATCAAAGTAAAAACATCTTTACTTTATTGTACATGAAAAGGAAGTTTAGAGGGCCGACAGTTTTTGTATCCCTCGACAAAACAATTATTTAAAACATCTCACTTTTGCTGAGAGAGATAAATGTTAAGTTGTTCTTATAGATAGAAAAACCTATGTAAGTTTCACTGTGCTTACCAGATGATTAATATCAGTAATGCACAACATTTGTGTCTACTGTGAATAGGTATTTTTATACATACTGTATTTAAGCTCTTTTCTCACCAGTTTTTGAAAATCTTGTCCTGAGTTCAGGGACAGCCATTCCTTCACCAAGAGAACGTTCTCTGTTGCTACCAGAGAGATATTTATTTATTCTTCCACTGCATAAATGCACTGTGCCGTACCCGTATTGGCACAGCATGGTATGGTGTTCCATTTCACTTTGCTCAGTTTGTTTTGTAAGCCCAAAATGTTAAAGGATCCAAATATTTTTTACAGTGGCTCTATAAGCTGGCATGAATACATGCTAGTTTGTGCATGTTAATAAACAGATCCACCCCAGCCCAGCACCCAAAGGTGCTGACACTATACCATGACTATATTAGAGCCAGTGCAATAGCAAAATCCAAACTATGTTTACAAATTGCTGTGTCCATGCACGTCAGATACAGTCTTGTAGTAAATATTCAAATTTTCCTCAGTTGTATTTTGTTCACTCACTCACTAAATGTCCGCTGCCACTCTGTGTAAATATAAACACCCGCACAGGTGTTCTACATTTTCAAAGAGTGTGTAACATTGTTCACTTGTTTTATTCTGTCTCCTGGTCGTCCAAAGGGCCTGACAGGACATGGATCCGATCAGCCATTTCAAAATGTGAGATCCATAGACAGGTGTTTGAATGTAATACTGAACAGTTGATTTTAATATATAAATATAATTTCTTTGCCTTACACAATCAGCGGATGGCTGAATTTTTACAAGATTTGTGATTTACTTTTGTAAATTTTGTAAATGCTTGAAAGAGAAATTACTGTTGTACTGTTTTTTGTTGTTTCTTTATCTGTCATTTTAAATGAATGACAGGGTTGTGTCAGGTAGAAAAGGTCAAGCAAGAGTGTTTAGCGTCTCTGCTTATTTGCAAGGAATTTGCATTTGGGTTAAACCAGTCCACATTGTTATTTCACTAATCTTGTCATCTCAGTAGAAAATTGCAGAGCTGCTCTGAGCTTTGGAAAACACTCTATTGAAAGGCACTGGGAGTCATCTCATAATATCATTTGTGCATTAGAGCAGCTTTGCCTGCATCTGAATATTGTCAGACAGTGCTCTAAACCCACTCTAAGTGCATCTGCAATGTGCACCTTTCGTGACAAAGTTTTATTTTGCGTTTGCCTTCTTTACATATAATGTATTTTAGAATCCTCAGGGTGGGAGGAATGAAATTCATTAAACTTCATATGGACCCTGCTCCACGCAAGGAAAATACATTTTTGACCATTAAGAAGTTTTTACTTTTGTTGCTTCCCTGAAACAAATAACTGTTTACATGCAGCCTAATGAAGTGTTGGTTGATGTATGCTTGTCATAACTTGACTAAACTGATAATATCCAGTAACCTAACCGGTCAGATTGAAGCACCAAAACAAAGGAGAGATAATAACTTAATAGTTAACTGTAGCAGTCTTACTACTTGACACAAACATACAGGCAGAAATCTGCATGTATATAGAAATGTGCATGTAAATATACATGTAAGATTCTTGCCTCAGTAACAATTTGTAAACGCATTATGTGATTTCCTCCCACCTACAATGTCAGTAGCGCTCTTGTTTGGATTGCATATCTCAGTGTTGACTGATTAGTCAGAAGCCTCCTGCCAGTGACCTCATTGTCCCATTAAAACCTCTGAGTTCATGACTTTTGCCATGTGATTTTATTTTATTTTTTTAATAATTTTTTTTTTTTTAAATGAGGTCACTGGAAGTTTGAAAGGACAAACATACTGGCAGGGCTCTTGCTTGTGTAAGTGAGGATTCAGGGAAGGTCTCTCTCCCGAGTTTTGTACTATCTTCTGTATGCTATATCACACAACAGTGTAAAAAATGTAAAATGTTTATTGGATAATAGTTTTGGATTTGTTACTGTTTATATTTGCAGGATGTGGATGTATTTTCTTCATGTATTTTGTTTGTAAAAAATGGATTTCTAATTTACTAGCATGTTTGCTTTTGCCAATAAAGATGGAGGAATGGGGGAGCTTGTAAGGTGATAACAAAAAAAAAGAAGAAAAGAAAAAAATACAATTTCAATTGGATCTTGGAGAGCAAAAAAGAAAATTTTTGAGTTGAAAGAAAAATTGACCAAAAAAGAAGTCAACATTGGCAAGGGGAAAAATACGAGCAAAAGCATTCCAGAAAATATTACCGTAAACTCTTGTGTGGTGTCCTTTTATTTTGCATGTTATCTTGTAGAAACGTCAATTGATGCCAAAGGGTGGAAATATTACTACAGTGCCATACAGTACGTCAGTATTAGGACTGTTACTTTAGTTAAATGTTCAGATATGAGCAGAAATACCAATTATGTTATAGATCTAAATATAACACTTTCTCTTTTGAAATCTAACAGTCATTTGGTTGCACAAGAATGGCCAGTTGTAACTGTACTTGGAAAGTGTTAACCCCATTGGACCTCTTCATATTTTATTGATCCTCAACATGGAATGGCAGTGAATGTAATTATGTTCAAAAGAAAATACTCATAAGTACACATTTTAAATAGTAACTAAATAATTGCACAAATAGCACTTTACTCTAAATAATCACTGGTACAGCCAAATGTTTTTTCATGAAATCAAATGTCATTTCATAATAAGTTGAATGGAAATCACTGGTGTCTAATCAAAGTGTGACATATAATTTAACACGTGATCAACTAAGCATAAGCCACAACCTCTAAGAAGAGATGTCCTAATATACAAAAATTACAGCCCCTGCCTCTTTCATTATTTTGATATATTATTTTACCTTGGGAGTGCATTATTGCACTTATACCATGGCCACTTACCCTAGACAAAAAGAGAAGCTGTGCTCAATATGTTCTTCATTTGTAAAAGTTCAGGTACTTCACCAGTTGTGCAGTGATTTAGAATGGCAAGTTTATGCTGACCTGAACTTTGGTGGTCTTGATGATTTTAATGGACTCTAGCCGGCCAATCACAAATGTGGCCTTGGTACAATAAAGTGTATCCTAACAATCAATTCAGGGCTCTAAATATCCATCAAAACACAGTCAGGTCAGGTGTAACTTATTATTATTATTATAAGGTTATGTGCTATGATGTTTACATATTAGAATCACAGTATAATTCTATGTGGAGTTTGTGAACAAATTTAGACCTATAATAGGGATAGTCAGCACAATTAAATACCTTCCATTGTGTCCATCTTATGAAGGAGTATAAGCCCATCGTTAGTCACAGATGCTCACTTCCACCCATGGCCTCAAACAAATCCCACAACATTACAGGAAAGACCTCTGACGCTCAGTTTAATTACAGCACCCAGCGACCGACATTAAAATATCTCTGAATTTTGCACAAGTGTTTCTTACTTTAGGAAGTCAAGTGAAAACACTCAGAGTCTCTTTAGTTTAACACAAGGACTGTCGGCACTCCACAGGGGAAGGGATGCCAAACTGGGGCCTGGGGCAGATCCGTTGCGACTGGGAAGTGAAGGAATAAGCACTGGTAGCATTGGGCTCCATTGAATTTTGATATAGGTATAAATATATACAAAGTAGAATGAGTAGTCTTTCTAGAATTATGACATAGTAAAATAATTAAAAAAAATTTTTTAAATGAGAAGTCAAAATTATAAACAGCATCTAATGCCAGTGAGTCAAGATTTGTGTTTGTGGATTGGACATACTGTATATGTGGGATAATTTTCAGTATTCACCACAGGTAATCAACAACAAAGGTCTGAGTTTTTTGCATATCTATGAATAAACAACCATCAATACAGATAAGTACTACAAACACTATAGTTTTTGATGCTGTTAAAATGTGAAACAGGCCCATATTTTCTATTATGATTAGATGAGAAACAGAAAAGTGTAGCAAACAAGTTTTTATTGAAATGACTCCTCAGAGTGGGTAAAGGGATGGATGCTGTGACTTTAGTTAGGTCATGTGGTGGAGTGTATGCAGGCCAGATGGGGGTGAAAAGAGAACTGCTGTTACATTTGGCCAGAAATACCACAACTCTCTATAAAACATGTCAGATGCAATTTTCAGAATATGAAAAGCGCAGACATGACAGAGTTGTAAACAATAAGCATTAAATTATGAATGGTCCCAGCCATATAGCAGAGAAGAAAAGGGAGGAGTGATGTGAGGGTGAGAAAAGGGACTTCAGGCTTCATTCAGACTAACATCTCATAAATCCAATGGGATCCTCATATCACTTTTACATATAGACTAACATTTTATTAATCCCATAGTGTTACATTTCATGTAGGCCTACATGCCTACTAAGACTGAAAACATTAAATCTTTGATGAAAGATCTCAACTAAATTTAAAAAAAAAAATTAAATATCTTCTTCTGTTTGTGTTATGGTAATGAGAATGCAAAATGCACAAATTCCGAGTTAAGCCTATAAATGTTTACTCTCCACATGCAAGTAGCCAGCCTACATTTAGCTCTTAGAGCTTGGCTCCCCAGCCTGCAACAGGTTTGCATGGTGAGAAAAAGAACTTGGCTGTTTTAATCTGTGTAATGAATAAAAACATGCCAGCGTGGTAATGGATGCCTGCCACCAGTGCAGCTAAATTATTCAGAGTCTGGGGAACCAGAGAGGTGGCCGGCAGGATCGGATGGACCCGCTGTGTCATCAGTGCACCTCTGCCCGTCTGGCTCCTCTTTCGGCCCGTCCACCCCGGCTTCATGAGTTTAAACCAGGCAGCCACATGAGAAGCTTGTAAAGCGGCCCCGAGGATTGGCGTTCACATGGGGGAAAGAGCAGGCCAAGGCCCTCGGGTCAGCTGGTCAGCAACCTACAGGCCTTAGATACAGTTTGAAGCATGTAGCACCAACATTATTTTTTTTTATGTGTGTGTGTATTTTACATTATATTGAATCTACATATCTATCCATGGAGCAGCCTGCAAGCTACAATTTAAGCTCAGTGGTGCTGCACTATCCATGGTGCTGAAACAATTGGAGGACTGGCATGACGTTTTGACCAACTCTTGTATATCTTTCATGCTTGTTTAGTACATTTAATGTAATAATAATAATAATAATAATAATAATAATAATAATAATAATAATACATTCACTCTGTATGTCAGCTACTGGCCCATTGCAGACATGTTGAATACATGCTGAGTTATAAGGCAAGTCGAGATGTGTGTACTGAACCACAGGCTACAAACGTTGATGTGAATATAAACGTTTATATCCTGGAATTAACCCCCCCGTAACACTTTTTAAAATGCCACATGAATCTTTAATAGCGAGCTCATCAATGGACGGCGGTTTATTAGAATATTATGGTAATGCTGGTTGGGTTTATTTGACGCTTGCGCACAGAGGCCTACATTTTGCAACTTGTAAGTTGAGCAGAGGAGCAGGTGGGAGGGGAGGGGGAGAGAGGCTGAAAGAGGAGGCGGAGGAGGGGGGGAGTAAGAGGGAGAGGGGGATGCCGGGAGGCGCAGCCGATGTTAACAGCTCAGTCTGGCGAAGGAGAGCAGAGGAGCTGTGTAGCTATCCGCTCCCCGGCTTTCATGTCAGGGGCCACACTGCTTGCGAGGTGCTTGCAGGGAGGAGGATGATGACCATGAACGGCAAGCAGCATTTCTCCATGCACCCGGCTCTGCACGAGCCCAAGTATCCCGGCCTGCACTCAGGCTCGGAGGGCATGCGCAGAGTCTGTCTGCCCGCCCCGCAGGTACGTTCAGGTCGTGGAGGGGGGGGATGGCTGTGAAGTATACTGGGTGAGAGGAGGGAGAAAATATCACACTGGAAATGTCTGTAAAGTTGATTTGACAGGACTTTGTTCTATCCGCTCTCTCTCTCTCTCCTCTGTCTGTATTAGCCTTCTCCCCCCTCCCCTCCTCCCCCCTCTCATCCACATGTCTATTCAAGCAATGCTCTTGCTTTCATATTAATTTTTATGACCTGCGCTTTGAGGAGGGTTCTCTCCTCTCCTCAGCGCTGCTTGCCTTTGGAAAAATGTTTTTTAGATCCTGAGAGCTGCCTGACAGAATTCCCCACTGACTCCAGTATGCGCACTCTTGCTTGCAGCTGCAGGGCAATATATTCGGAGGCTTTGATGAGAGCCTGCTGGCACGGGCAGAGGCTCTGGCGGCTGCTGACAGCATTGTCTCTCACGGCAAGAGTCACCCGTTCAAACCAGACGTGACTTACCATACCATGAGCAGTGTCCCCTGCACCTCAGCCTCCTCTTCTTCCTCCACCACCGTGCCCATCTCCCACGTCCCCTCCACCATCGCCTCCCATCACCATCACCACCACCACCACCTCGGACAGACCCTGGAGGCTGGGGACCTCCTGGACCACCTCTCCACCAGCCTGGCCGTAACTGGGATGGGGGCTCCGGAGCCTCCCGGGATGACCAACCCGGCGCACCACCACCAGCACCCTCACCACCACCTGCAGACCATGGGGCAGTTGCACCAGGCGATGGCCAACATGGGCCACCCTCACTCTCTGTCAGTGCATGGCGGCATGGCGTGCGTCAACGACGTGGAGTCGGATCCCAGGGAGCTGGAAGCCTTCGCCGAGCGCTTCAAGCAGAGGAGGATCAAACTCGGAGTGACCCAGGCGGACGTCGGGTCGGCGCTGGCCAACCTTAAGATCCCCGGAGTGGGGTCCTTGAGCCAGAGCACCATCTGCAGGTTCGAGTCCCTCACCTTGTCCCACAACAACATGATAGCGCTTAAGCCGGTTCTCCAGGCCTGGCTGGAGGAAGCAGAAGCTGCGTACCGGGAGAAAAGCGCCAAGCCGGACCTTTTCAACGGGAACGAGAGGAAAAGAAAGCGCACCTCCATCGCCGCGCCGGAGAAGCGCTCTTTGGAGGCTTACTTTGCCATCCAGCCTCGGCCCTCCTCGGAAAAAATTGCGGCTATCGCCGAAAAACTGGACCTGAAAAAGAATGTGGTTCGAGTGTGGTTTTGCAACCAGCGGCAAAAACAGAAACGAATGAAATACTCTGCGGTGCACTGAGTTTCACACATCATGAATAAAATAGCCTACTACATTTTTGATCGAGTGATTAATAATAGCCTAAGTAGCCTAACTAACAGGGATTTATCAACAACTCTTCACGTCTCATCTTGGATTATATCCAAAAAGACTCTACTACTGTTACCAGTTGAAGTCACTCACTCTTCGTTGTTGCACTTTTTTTCGATTTTGCTATTAATATGGGACTTTGTTATAGATTTGTGAGGAGGGTGCTTTTGATGTTGTTGCTCATGTAGGCTTGCACACACAAAATATGAACTTCCAGTAAATCCACCCTGACAGTTTGTCACATTCAGGGATATTAACTCACTTCTTCCTTTCTCTTTTTTATTTTTAACATGAAATATGGAGTTCAGAGGCGACATTTATAGGCTGTTTAATTGTTAAATGGATTCTTTTGGAAGAGAAAGAATTGATGATTTCGTGATATTTTTTTGTAATGTTGTGTTGATGTGAGCTTGAGATCAGAGTTTGTCCTCCACACCACTGGCTCACAAGTAGCCTACACCATCATATATTTAACTGTGCTTTCACGTTTTTTATCTATAAATTCAGACTAATGTGAGTGTAATGAAGAGGGGTTCAAAAACTCACCCACCATTTTAGACCACGATTTTTTTTTTGTTTTAGCTAACGAATCTGCTGTGTGTGATGGTAATCTACGCACAAATATGAATAATAACACTAATACTTTCACAAGGTATGACACACTGAGTCTGTGTATCTTGAATTATTTAGAAAAATGGAAATGACACCGTCATGTTTGAGTCACATCCGTGTGGCTTTGGCTGCTGCTATATTTTAGTATTTTGATGTGAACGTATTTTGGAGCATTACAGGAGTTATATAATTATTATGTAGCCCAGATATATACAGTATATAGGCCTACATCACCTGATTTAAGTATTTATTTTTTTCGTCACTCTTGATTTCACTTGAAAAACAATGTGTGAAGTTTAAACGTAATAAATGATTGGTTATTTTTTAAAATCTCTCTGTAGCAGCGACTTTATTTTTGTGCTTTATTAAAATACATTATTTTAATAAGGCCTATAAATCCGGCATTCACATTTATAATTTTGAAAAAAATCACACGATCTATCTATCCACCCTGAAATGAACCAATGGGCGATAAAAATCTTCGTTTGTTTTTTGGGAACTTGCCCGACTGTATTAGTCATGAATCCCTAAACCTCTGCAGGAATTAAATATGTATTGTCGTTCATGATATTAGCACCACAGGAAATAACGGGCCTCCATTTCCAGTGTAATTTTCACATGGCGGAGCGCAGACTGTGCGTCCTCCACACGCCGCTAATGACCCCATCCTCTCTCATTAGGGAAGTTTTAATTATGGATTCCCTCGTGTCACCGTGTTATGTCGAGCTGGGGTTTGAAATTATTAAGTAATGACAATGCAACATTAATTATATATTGGTATAAAACGAAGTAATGTGGAGGAGTTGGGAGCTGGCTAAAAGTCTGACTGGGAACTCTGGTGACAGACGGACTGGATACACAACAGTTTGAGGAAAGAGGGATATTAAAGTTGTTTATTTTTTGTCGTTTGACTCAGTAAGTAATTTCTCCTGTTTTGTTGTAGACTATTGTGTACTAGCCTATATATTTTTTAAATATTATATGTTTCTTTTCATTTCAGCGCATACGGGCACACCTTTAAATTCACTTTTTTTTCCTCCGCGTAATATTGTCAGTCCATAGGCCGAAAATCTTACTCTATAATTCCTGATTAGTCTCTGCTTAATATGCGCGCGCAGCAATGGCCACTTTCTCCTAATAGCCTATAACCAAATATTTCGATACATAAATAAATAAAATAAAATTAAAGGCTTCCATCGGAATCCTCCCACAGTCAACATGACCTGCGGTTGTGCTTTTCCCAGTGAGACTGTCGGTGGGTTGTTTCTGCCAGGGGATCAATACTTTTGCAATTACACGGAAACGTTTGTGGCTCTTATTAATATTCTCTTTGATGATGAGAGGTTAATAATCACAGTCTATTATTTATGGTGTTTAATATGAGTTTTCTTTTTTTTTTTTGGAGAGGGGATGGCGAGATAAAATGCAAATGTTAATTGTCGTCATTAATGTGCCTCTTTCTAAACTGCGTCACATCTTTCATGACACATTTGTCTGGTCATATTTTCAGCCGAGGTTTGGTCATTTAAAGAAATATCATCAAACCATCTAAGAATGATAACAATTAGGGCTCTTAAGAGCATATTATGTTTGTGTTGGATGAGGTGTTTCTGGCGTAGGCTAAATACAGTTAAAAAAGCCGCGTCGCCTTGTGAATAATTCATATTTATAACACCAGTATTGATAGCCTATCATAACGTACTCGCTGTGTGGTAAGTTGAGCTGAAGGCCTGTGAGCCTTAGCGGCATGTGGAGACTGAGGGCACTTCAATTATTCAGGAGCAGCTGAAAGGTATATTGCGTTTTCTCATGCAATAGCTACTGGAGGTGTGCTGGGCCAATTTGTGCATTATGTCTAATATGAAAACTCGTTTTGAATAGATCCTTATGCAAACTGATTTCAAGTTTTTTTAAGTTAAACAACTGCGAATAACCAGAATTAGAGTTTTGACTGGGGTTTGAGACATAATGAAAATTATAGAGACACGAACAAACAGACAAAACATAAAAAAAAAAGACAGAGCTTGGTAGAAAGAGAGGAAAGGGAGGAAGAGAAATAGAGATTGAGATGTTTTAATGCGGGAAGACAGAATGGGGATGAGAGCTCTGTTTAATTGCTGAAGAATGCATGCACATATATACACAGCCTCTCTCTCCATTTACACACACACACACACACACACACACACACACACACACATACGGGTGGCTGTCATCTTGACGAGAAAAGTGAGGGAATGTGAGGGGAGGTGTGGGAGCCCCAAACACACCAAACTCAATAATTCATCCAATGCCAGTAGCAACAAATGAGAATGTGACCAGAGCAAAGGAAGACAGCTACCTCTGCTCTCTCTATTAGTCACCTTCAATTATCATCAGAAGCCAAACCATCTTAGGACCAGCCTACTGCTGAAGTCTACATGCATACCTGTAGACTGCAAACCCCCCCCCCCCACACACACACACACCAACACCCACAGGCACGCATGCACACCCCCACACACAGTGAGATTATGTTACTCTCTGGAAACTTGAGGCCAGCATGATGGATGTCTTTTAAAAGGAATAGCAGGAGATGCTGTCCATCCCCAGCTCCTGTTCCCTTCTCCGTTCTCTTTGGTGTGTGAATCCACATTATGTGTGTGTTTCTCTTCAGATGATGTAAAATCTGACAGGTCATTTTGCTTGCTAAGTCTGTACTTGTATACTTAGTGTATTTCTGATAATGCAAAGTAATACATTTTAGTACAGCTTTGAAAGCACTTTAATGGATTTTTTTTTACAGAGGGGTATTACTTTTTCTTAAGTAAAGGATCTTAATACTTTCAGTTAATACTTGCTTCTCTCTATGTTCTATCATTATAAATGAAATATTTTTGGGTTTTGGACTGCTGGTCAGACAGTTTTAGGACTTTTCACTTTGGTCTGGAGGATGGGCCTGTGATAGGCATTTTACAGCCTAAATTCATTAATCAAATAAATAATCAACATACGATGGAATAAAAATTAAACAATGAGAACAATGTCATAACTAAAATGAACTTGCTTTCAGTTGCTGAGTATTTTCAATAATTCTAATAATTGTGTGACTTTTCCTCACTTCATTCCAAACTAATAAGTGAATCTGAAGCGTGTCCCATGTTGCTTTTGCTTACATATCATTACATAAACCAAATCAATGATTTGTGAGTTTAAAAAAAAAACATACTACAGAGAGACTAGTGAACTTTCTACGGAGAAACATTTAGAGTCTCACAGTCTGTGTGTGAGGTCAAGCTGTCTGCTAACTAACACACCATGCATTATGCAGATGTGCGCACACACGAAGAATGTGAGCACAAGGAGAGACAGAGAGAGAGACAGCGATAGAAAGAGATTCGTCCTGTAGCCAATTATGTGGTCTATATTTTAACATACATTAATAGTGTTCTTTCATTTTTTTCCAGTATTTTCTCAACTTCTGAAGTGTATATTTCTGTTTTAGTTCCAAAAATATAAAATAAGAGCATGGAATTGAGAGGAAAAAGGAGGGACACTATATTAGAGATGCTCACAGAAACTCACTTATAGGCACTTGTTTAATTCATTCAGCAGGCCTGAAGAACAGTATTACACACCCCATTCATTATTCAAGTCCTCTCCATTATCAAAGTGCCCAGAGAAATAAGATTAACCCAGCCAGAAATAACTCACTGTGGCGTGATTTTTTTTTTTCTACAAAGCACTTAGCTAGTCGGGTGCAGGTCTGCACACAAACTCAGATGATATGAACATATAATCACCATACAGTCTGGTGAACATAATAATCCTCTCCAAGAAAATGTGTCTCTCTGAGAGAGAGAGAGGGAGAGGGGAGAGAGAGGAAATGAGGAAGGAAAGAATTGCAAAAGAGGGATGCATGAGTTGAAGAACAGAAGAGAAAAGGAGAGCTGTCACAGCCAGAAAGAGGAGATAAAAGAAAATGATCAAGAAAAAAGAAGGGACTCACAAATATGTGACAGGAAATGCACAAGGAATAAAGGAAGTAAAATAGGAAGGAGAAAAAAGAAGAAGGAAGAAAATAAAGGGATGAAATGAGGTAGGAAGAAGAATGCATTGGTGGAAGGAAGGAAGGAAGGAAGGAAGGAAGGAAGGAAGGAAGGAAAGGAGCAAAGGATGGATGAAGCCAGAGAGCAATGACATGTGAATGGAAAGAGGGCAAGAGATAAGAAAAGAAAGAAAAAGGAGAGGATTGCAGTAAGAGTTCAAAGAAAGACTAAATCCCTAACGGTTGGCACGTCTGTCATCCTGACTGTCTGGATTTAGTTCTTTATTTATTT